TTATCAACACATATTAGTGTCCAACCCTTTGACCAATAATGAATAATTGCTCATTCCCTCTGATAGAAAATGCATATTGATCCCACTGACACCTTGCAGGTGCATCATCTGCCTGGAAACATCTGCTTGGGTTGTTTAGGGATTGGAAAGTGAAATAAAAGAAGCAAACAAGAAAAAATGCTTATTGCTACATTCCCCTCTATAGATGGTTTTAAACATCGGTATATGTATTTATTTTGAAGTAGAAATTTCAAAATTATTACAATAAAATGAAGAATAAAATCAGTCGAAGACAGAAAAAAGTTCATTATATCCAACTTCCTCACTTTTTTGGTTCACTATATCCACAAAAAATAACATTATACGTGTATAGCAAGGCACGGGACCGAGCATTTCGTTCACTATATCCGGAAGTTCACTATAACCCGTGTTCACTATAGCGGGGTTTGACTGTATATGGAAAAATTTTAAAAAACTATTTTAAAAACTTAGATAATTTTAAAATCCAGTTTACTCACCAAGTATCTACAAAAGTTTATTCTTGGCAAGTAAAAATAAATTATCTTTCCATTCTTTGCAGATGTATTTCATTCAGCAAAATATACAGTTATGGGTTTTGACCGAGGGAAAAAAAAAACATAAATTTTTATTTTTCAACCCAGGCTTATGTGGTATGTGGATGTCTGGGGTTGGTTCTTTTGTTTGTTTTCCCTGAAAAAAATTCAGAGATTTGGAAGGAACCAATAGAAACCTAATTAATTAAAAATCTAATTTCATATTTTAAATTTATTTTATGTAAATTAAAGCAGAAATTATTGTAATGGTAAAAATTATTTTATATTTTATTAAGATTGTGGTCTATCTCTTTAATATTTTGATACCTAAAACTGCATTGTTAAATTTGTTTCAAATTATTTTATATTCAACATAAAATATTTTTTATGACCTGAGTAGGTATTTACCTGATATTAAAAGTTTTACTTTATATAAGAAACAGTTATAGATTTAGAATATTACTGAATAAATTATATATTTAGAGTAGCAAGTATCCTGCCTGCTATATAAGATAACTTTTTTATTATATTTTCTTCCCATCATAGTCAGGGCCGGATTAACGTATAGGCACACTAGGCATGTGCCTAGGGCCTACGAAATTCAGGGGCCTACAAAAAACTTAGGAGAAAAAAATTTGTTGACAAAAATAATTTAGCTTTAAGAACAACAAGTGTATTTTGCACAAAATTATGAAGATACAAGTAAAAATATAATATTTTTCGGTAATAAATTATTTTGCAGAATCTTATGATCAAATATATTACTTTTTTGCGATTTTTGGATTCAACGAAATCTTGTATTATGTTGTGTTGTCGAATTCCAAACTACGCAAAAAGTTCGATAAACAAATTTGTAAATTAAAATCCATATTAATAAAAATGTAAAGAAAAAAATATTCAAGAAAATTTTAGCATATATTTTGAAAAGAGGAAAGGAGGGGAGGGCCCAAAAACGGCTATGCCTAGGGCCTACGAAAGGTATAATCCGACTCTGATCATAGTAGGTAAACTTGTCTATAATTATTGGAAACAAATGCAAGGGAAAAGAAAATTGCTAAGTACAGACTGGTTTCTTTCATTGCTGAGCAGTTATTTTATAATTTACAATAACTCAACAATTTTTTTTTTTATTTCAAATTTGGCTGTCACTTATTTGAAGTTATTTCTTGTTTACATCTTTGCTATTTGAGGGGGGGGGGAATCAAAATTACAATTTTTATGATAGTAAATTTTTTTGGAATCTTAATTTTTTCTTAGCTGTCTATTAACTGCCCCTTGTCTGAAAGCTTGAGGCTCTTGCCCCTTGACCTCCTTTTTACACACCTCTATCTGAGACATTTACTAAGCAAGGGAGAGAAAAAAACATTGATTTACTATATTGATAATAGTAAAAGATTTTTAAGTCCCTTTTAGCTTTCAGTTAACAAGGAGTATAAATGCACCAAATGAAACTGTACAGTTAAGTTGCATGGTAATTATAATGTTTTTTTAATTGAATTGTAGATTTTGTTTAAATAGTAAAGATTGTAATAATCAGGATGGAGATCCGACTTGATCTATCGAAAAATATACTGTCTAAAGCCTTATTTGAAATTAAATAATTGCAAGTGATATCCCATAAATTACAATCTTCTGTAAATAGTAATTTTTACTTTTCCTCTTTATAACTTTATTAATATCCTAATTGAGTAGGATATTAATCCTATTGTACTTCTATTTTTCTTGCGATCAGGAAAAATTACTTATTACTAATTTTAATTACTTATTACTAATTACTAATTTTAATACAGAAAAATAGTATTGCTACATTACAAAAATTTAAAAACAACTTATGTCTCATTATCATTAAGTTTTGACCCTCCTATTAGAGAAACACTTATGTCATCCGTATTACAAAAGAACCACTGTTAGTTAACTATCGAAGATTCTGTCACAAGATTTTTTATAACTGCAAATGTTCTGATGTTTTGTTATAAAATGAACAAATAACTCTCACTAGTTAAATTAATACAATTTTTTTAGCTGATGAATAATTTTGTTTTGCGAACTGAAATTTCTAAAGAAAAAGAGGAAGGAACCTCTATTAAATAAATATCAAATCATGTATAAATTCCTATGTAATGAATCAAGAATTAATAACAGCTGTTGAAATGTTCATCTTGACTTAGATGTAACTTATGCTGTGAGGTGCATCACGGTTTTGAGCATTTTCTGATTTAGAGGTATTTCTGATTAGGGGTAAAATATTGAATGGGAATATTTACTTGGTTACTATTTTAATCCCTTGTTACTTGATCACATGTTTTCCTAATTAGTTATCTACCATATATCTTGTTCATTTATTAATGCTTCATTTTTTATTCCAGTTTTTGAAGAAATAATTTATGAAAGGAAAACCAAAGTGATGCAACTTACTATATTTTAATATTGGTAAGTTACCTAATCTTAAATCCTTTCTTCTTTTCTGTGATGTTCAAAGCATTTGATAGCAGTGGCATACATAGACTTAGGTGCACACCCCTGCAAGATTTTAAAATTCGCCCTATCATAGACTTAACACAAAATTTTTAAAATATAATATGAAACGAACATTTATAATCTTTTATTTTATTTTAATTTATGTATTTAAAATGGATTAATAGGGAATTAATTGCAATGTAAGGCAGTATCTAAAAAAAATTAAGGTTGGAGCATTGTATACACTTACTGACTTAACACATTGAAATGAAATTAATCTTAAAAATACGACAAAATAACTCACTATCTTGCAATATTTATATTCAAAGTTAAGAGATTTTTTGATTTCTAATGTGAATAAAAAATATCTTTTTATAATTCATATCCATGTATTTTAATATGTTGATGGAAAATACGATAATTTTTATTAAAATATCAGGGCATAAAATTAAGTTCTTTTAAATATTTATAATTCTTTTTTTATTACCTTAATTCTGCAATTAAAAAGTTAAAATCCTTTTTTACGCAACAAAAAATTAGAAGCGAAGTTCAAAAACAGTTAGCAGTTTAAGAGCTCACATTCAAGGTTCACATTACGTTATAATACATTCAACATATCAAATTTTTTAAAAAAAAATTGAAAATTAAACTTAGATTGTGAAATTGCCTGATTCGCAACTCGTTATAGCACCAGATAAAAAATATCAGGATTTTTGAAACCCTGTGGAAAAGCGCAGCAATAACTATTGAAAATACTATAAAGAAAAAATTCTTAAATTTGAGCTGAAATCAGTGCAAATAAAGCGCCCATTGGAAATAAACGATTTGAGTGTGGTATTAATGCATATTAAAAATATAGGGATTTTCAAAACCATGTAAAAATGCTTATTAATGATAACGATGGGAAAATAGCTTGGATTTACTATAAAATTAATAAATAATAAAGTAAGATAAAATAAATAAAGCTTGTCAAAAGTAATAACTATTTACATGATTCGAAATTCGCAGATCGTTATAATATTGACCGACAATATAGCCTTTCAAAGTATGATCGAAAAGTCCCTTGGATTAACTATAAAAAAAATGGAGTTACAAAAGTGATTACTAAAATTCGAAATTTACAAATCATAATTTTGTTGTATTAAAAATATTGGGATTTTCAAAACTGTGGAAATTTGTTGTGATAACCAACGAGGAAAGCGATAAAAAAAATTACATTGATTTAGATTTGGCGTGTCCAAAACTTAAATTCAAACAATTTTCGATTTTTTATTTTCCAAAACAAATTATAATAGTTTTTATTTTATTTATTTTTACGTTCAGGAACTGCCTCAGGCGGCTGAACCACGAGAGCTCTCAGGCCGCAGGTTGCGCACCCCTATATTATGTATTATTTCTAGATTGTGTGCCCTCAAACCTCATGTGACCTCCTCTCCGCGGGGGTTATTTACGCCATCGTCTGATAGCCTTGTCTCTAGAACTGTATAGCTTAGTAATTTATGCTAGAGGTCTTCAATATTTTGTACTAGAGGGTTTTTAGGAAATATTAGCTAAAAGATAAAATATAGTCAGAAAAATGCATTAGCAGAAAGGAGATGACAGTTAATTTTAGTTTAGTATAAATTACTAAGCTTTATGTAGTATGTTGGTATTTTGTTAAAAATTGGAATAGAATAATCATTTTTTTTAAATCAATTTTTGTTTTTATCTGTGAAACAGACAAAATACAATTGTATTGAAATGCTAAGCATGTCTACTGTACTGAAATGGGGGGGGGGAAACTTAACAAGAGATTGAATACCATTACAGACATAATTATAACATAGTTTTCGATTCACTAACAGAAGGCCTTTCTCATTTTCTTATTCAACGATTGTTTTGAGCAGAATGAGATATTTCAGCAAAATGCTTAAATATTATCTAGTCATCATTGGTCCGTTCCAGAGAAGCTTGTGGAAGACCCTTATTTTATACAGAAGACGTTTGAAGAAGATGAGATATTTATTTTGGAAAATAATGCGCAACATATTATTTATATGATTTTGTATTTGTGTATCTTTTTTTCCCCTTCTTGTTTCTGTTTGGCTGATAATTGTATTGATATTTATTTTAAGGAGAAAAAGAAAAACTTATATCTAATGGCTGTTGAAGAACATGCTGAAGAAGATAAATCAATCCTTGCTATGACAACAAATTTTAAGCATACTCCAAATGGCTTGTTATCCATAGGGAAATCTTCTAATCCTAACAGCTTGTTTGTGACAAATCTTGTAAAAGAGACTACTGGTGAAGATGATGAACTCACTAGTTTGGCATGGTTACAGGACACTAATCTCCTGAAAAATTTTCAGGTAGGCAACTATGGAATAGAAAGTGAGGATGTTCTAAGCGACAGCCCATCAAGTGACTATTTGGATGAAACAATTGAGCATGTTACTGTAAATGGCAGTGAAAGTAGTGAACAGAATGTGAGTGAGGCAATTTCAGGCCACGCACCGTACAATCCAACCCTTCATGCCAATTCAAAACCTCCATTTTCTTTCAGTTGCCTCATTTTCATGGCTATTGAAGAATCAGCAAATAAGGCTTTGCCTGTCAAAGATATATATAATTGGATTCTTACTCGTTTTCCATATTTTCAAAATGCACCTACTGGTTGGAAGAACTCAGTTCGTCACAATTTGTCTTTAAGTAAATGCTTTCGAAAAGTGGAAAAGGAAAAAGGCCAGGTAAGTAATAATTTTATCTGTCTTTTAAAGTTTAATTTATAGTTATTGTGGTTTTGCATCTTTTAATAAAAAATTTTACATCTTTTTAAGGTTACATTTCATTTACATTCACTAAGGAAATCTATTATATATAATTCTCTTACGTGGCTCCCAAATTTTGGCTGTATTTCTTTTCCGCCGGTGGCAACGTTTGCTTTGTTTTGAAAACACCAAAGCATTTTGCCTTTTAATGATGTGTTTCTGATCTAATATATATAATTCTCTTACGTGGCTCCCAAATTTTGGCTGAAGTACTTTGTACAACTAAATAAGATTCTTTTCACAACAGTTAAATATTTACTTTATTTTCTTCATTCATAGAGAAAACAGTCGGCAAAGAATTCTGTTAGGTTAAAAAACATTTCGCTAAAAAAATAACGAATTCTAAAAGAAATAAAAATAAACAACTTAAAAAATAAAAATGCTGTTGCCAGCCATAGAATTTTTTGAAAGTTAACTTAGCAACATAAATCAAAATGACATAGAAGCGCAACTAGATCAAAATTATGATACCTGAGCGCTTGACGTAACAAATCCTTCAATTCTAAAAGTGTTGTATCGCCAAATGCCCAAATTAACAATTGTGTTCTTAAAGAAATTCTATAAAAAGTTTTAAATAAACAACCTACTTCTACAACTGCTTCTTGAAGAACTTGGCTCATTGATTAAAAATATTGTTTTAATTTTACAGTACTAACTTTACTTCTACTTTCATTATTGCTATGACCCTCTTTCATTACATTTTACAACTTCATGCTAAATTTGAGGACTTTAAGTTGTTTTGTGGTTGAATACTGACATTTAGAAATGTGTACATAAAAAAAATAATATTTAGAGGTTAAGAGTTGCCTCAGAAAAATTTGAATTGTTGACATTGAACTTAACAATGGAAACAATCGTTTTTGTGAAAAATTGAATTGTATTGTTGACATCAAAACTAAAAATATTGTGTTTCAACTTAACAATACTACCTTAATTTATACTTTAGAATTGCCTCGGAGAAATTTGAATTGTTAGCAATGACTTAAACAAAAAGTTTTATTTTAACTGACAAATACTATATTATAATTTTAACTTTTTCTATGACTATACTCATTTTCTTACTCTTTTCTTTGTTTTTTATACATTTTATATTTTTGTAATAAAATAAAAAAACTTATAGTTGTTCTGCTTCTGAACACTGATGAAAACACAAAATGATGGCCTTCATCAATAATCAAAAATCTATACATTTATTTTACAAATTCCATATTATTAGGGTGGCGCCCTTCAGAGAATTAAAAATACAAAATTATCTTCATCGAAGCCGATGCTTTAGAACCGGCGTTCAGTGGCAGACTAATATTTCATATTGTTATACAACACATGGCTTTAGCCCTCTGGTGGGAAAGACTTTAAAACAAAACTTACAACAGTTACTTTTCTCAACAACTGAAATTTAGAATAGTGTGATTAAGAAAAATATGTGAACTGTTTGCAATTTCAAATTAATATTGAAATGTACAGGTTTAGAATTTTCTACAGTGAAAAGTTTTCGGAACTTCAGTATTCAAAAAAGTATACAAAAACTAGACGTTAAGAACGTATCCAATGAGCGAGCAAAGCGAACATTGGATTGCGAAGCAATCCGAAATGAACTGCGAAAGCAGTTTCGGGGGTTGGTGAGCGCCAGCGAGCAGGGGGCGAAGCCTCCTAGTATTTGAAAATTACTCAATCAAAAGGGCTAGGAAAAAATATGCAAAATATACATTTTTGCAAGTTCCTTATAATAACTGCTTTTTTAATTAAGAAAAAAACTGTCTAGTTATCTTTTACACAAAGTTTTACAAAATTTTTGAACTCCTTGGATGCTCCTTGGATTTCATCTTCTGATCTCTGTATGAACCCTGCTTATAGAATAAATCAAAAATGTTATTTTTTAAATATTTTGTCAGCCTTACAACTCAATTTTAAAAAAATAAAAATTATGTAATTTATTTAGGCTAAACAAGTTTTATATCTGTGTACAATAAGAGTATTCAATTATCTTAAAATGGTCCTAAGATATAGCAAAATGCATAAGCATGAAGTGAAATTAACATTATTTCATATATCTGAGACTGCAACTGCCCACTATATTTAATGGTCCAGAATTAAAAAAAAAGCAATAAATAAATAAAAGTTTTGTTTATTCAGAGAAAGTATTTTGTAAATTAATAGTTAGCACTAACTAAGCTGCATATTTAAGGTTCACCTCTTGAACCAATAAGAGAGATAGTTCTTGATTATCTGATCATTAGATCAAAAGTTATTCAGGGTATATTACTGACAGCATTCATTCTAAACAGTTATTATTTGATGAATTTGATACCTTGATGTAAGTTAACTCATGCTATTGTTAATGTTAGTTTGTTTCATTTCACATTTTTAAAATTAAATAAAGAAAAAGAAAAAGGGATGCTTTTAAAAAGTGAGGTTTAAAATCTTTTTTGCTTTAAATGTATATAATTATTATATAATATACTGTGTAAAAATTATAATATACTGTTATAAAATATACTGTGTAAAAAAATTCTTTTTTGTGTAATTTTTAGAAAAAAATATGTTCAAAATAATTTTTTAATATATTAAGGAAAAAAAAATTTTATTGATGAATAAGTAAACCTGGCGTAAAGTGCTATCCAAATTCATAACTATTCCTAACTGAAATAAAGAAAAAAAAATTTCATCTAAAGATAATATAAATTCTGGTCTTGCCTTTTTTGCTTAATCTATATTATTCTTAAATTTCTATTTTTAGAATGTTGGGAAAGGATCATTATGGTGTATTGATCCTGAGTTCCGTCCTAATCTTGTACAAGCCTTACAAAAAGCACCGAGTATGGCAAATGTGGAATTTAGCCAGTTCGCATGCGTTTCAGCAAATTCAAATGGAAAAATTGATAGGTATATTGTTTATATTTCTATTACCCATATGTTTATATGCAATTAAATTTATTACTATGTACAGATTCCGTGTTTGACAAAAAAAGGGGAGGTTGCTATTTCCAATTTATTATTTCTATGCTAAGTAAAATAGGGTTTACTCCTTCTTTCCAATTTTCAAGAGTTTTATTTATTTAAAACTGTGTTTCATTGACCATTATTTTTCTTATTTCCCACATTATTTAAAATAATGTATGGAAAAAAGTATCGTAAAAACATATTGGATGTTTAAATAAATTAATAGCCAAAATAAGCAATAACATTCTAAAGATGGCAACTCATTCATTTCATTTATAGAATGTTTATAATGCTTTTAGTTCAATATGGGAACTTGAAATAATCTGATGAATGGTGAGATTGTGTGAAAACTTAAAATCTCAATTTTAAAAATTCTATTACATGGAGCTTTTATGCACTTCACATCGTAATACATCATCAACATTGGGATGTGCTGGAAGTTTTTTTTTATACAAATTTCTTCTAGTTTTAAAAAACTTGTTTTTCATAAGATTGGTTTGAACATTCATAAGAACAAAAGTACTTTTGTGCATTTTTTTTTACATAAATTTAATTTAAAACTATTAAATTGTATCATTTCTGAAAATTAACTAGGATAAAAGCAATTTGCTGAATCAAAGCTTTTTTCCCAGCATATAAATCAGTCTTGGTACATGAGGAAAAATGTAGTCCACATTTTTGTTAAGAAATATTTTTTAAAAAAACTGCTACATTATTTGTAATTTGCTTTAAATTAAATGCACTATAAATACAAAAAAAAAAAAAAAAAAATATGCTGTTGCATTGTTTGTTATTTCTATGAAATAGAATACATTATAAATTTTTTGTTTACATTAGGCAGGAAATACTTCTTCACAACAATGATTTATGCCTCTTTTTATATTTCTGAGGATGCTAAACAAAAACCATGTGATCAAAAATTTCTTGTCTTGCTCTTCTCGAAATGATTTAAAACTAACCAAAATCAACTTTTCTTTGATTGATAGAGATTGCTCGATATTTAAATTTTCCAATTTTGCGTATTAGAATATTTTCCACTATATTTTTGTAAAGATCTAAGTATTGTCAGTACATTTAAGTTTGTCAAGCTCAAGAAAATTCAACTATTTTTTTATTTTATTTAATTTGTGTTTAAAATAATAAATAAAATAAAATAAAGTTTGCAGAAGTCTGTATTTTTTAGCAACTTTTCGCTTTTGTGTAAGTAACAAAAATGTATTGTCTACTAAACTGAAGTTTCTATTATCAGTTTTTTTTTTTTTTTTTTTTTTTTTTGCCTTTGCTTCTCAAATAAGCTGGTACCTATTGATCTTAGGTTAGGTAAACTTTGACCCACAACTGGTTATCAAACCATAGTACTTCACAGTGACAGCTCAAAGCCCTAACTATTGAGCCAATGTGGCTCATACTCTAGCATGTGCATAAAGTTTGATTGTGATTGAGGGAGTAACTTTTCACAAAAAGTGTCTAAACATCTCATGTATAACTGAATAATGAGGCATATATTTTATGTCGCTATTTTTTGTAAGGTTATTTTAAAATTTTTGGAATTATTTTTCATTTATATAAATTATATTAATTTCAGTGAAATTAAACCATGTCTTCTAGTGTCTTCCCAAGAAGCAATACAAATTCCTTCCCCAGGTAATGTATAAAACTTTGAAACACAACATACCTAATACTCTGTCACTCTCTATTTTTGTATTTGTGTCATATCTTCATTAATATTTTGCTTTCAAATTAAAAGTTTTTGTCATGATAGAATATTTTTTCCAGTATATTATTTACTGTGGAAGTTAGAAAAAATTCTTTTCTTAGAATGGATAAAGTGGAGGAACAAAAAAATTTCTCTCAAAAGTTAATATAAACTAGAAAAGTTTGGATTATTTTGTTCATAAGTAGGGCTTCCAAGACTCAGGGAGAAAAGATAAAATCTGGGATTGTCAGAGAATTTTATTTTGATTTTATAAAGCAGGAATTTGTCAGTAAAACTCGCCTCTTTTTTTTTTTTTAACAAATTCCTAAATTATACCTAGAAAATTACCAGTCCCAGAATTGTCAATGCACTAATCAGTTATTGAGATTCGAGTTAATTTATTCTGCCATCTATTACAATTATTTGTTACAAAAATGTGAAACTTCCATGCTTCCATCCTTATTAGATATTTTTTTTGGCTCACAAATTCTAAAATTTGATATTACAATTCAAAAGGCAAAATTTTCTGATGAAAAATTGCATGGTAAATTTAAAATATGGTCTGGATTTTCATAAAAAAAACTTTTTGATAAACCTAGAAAATTCAGGATTTTTTTCCTTGAAATTAGTGGGAAAACTTATAAAACACTTGTTTAGAAAGTAGCATCAATTTAAGATTGGATATTTTAAAAACATCAGTTTTGTTAATTTGATCATAAAACTGAAATATCAATATTTTTTAATTTAATTGCAGAATATGAATTTCATAAAACTCTTTTCAGGCACAAAATTTCCTACTAAAATATTTTAATTTTAAAATTATTATAAAATAGAGTGGTGCACTAACTTTGAATAGTTTGCAAAACAATGAAGAATGTGAATCAAAATTTTCAAAATAGTTTTTATTAATGGTTTGGACTATATATTTTTTTTACCTTTAGCCTTTAATTGAATGCAGATATTAGTGTAGGAATAACAGTACAGTATAGTGGAATAAATTCAAAACCTGAAAATAACAGTTGATAATTTGCTTCCATTTGTTATGAGTTCAACAACTCAGTGTAATTTATCAGATTTGTTCAGTATTTTTTTTTTTTTTTTTTCAATTCTTATGTGTGCATGACCAAAGTAACAAAAGCTATGTTATCACTTTGCTGACTGGCAATTTTACACAGAAACTGTGTCATGTCACCAGCTATTATTTTTTATACACAATGCGTAAAGCTTTTGCAATATTCTGTATCGCTCCATCATTTCTTACATTGAAATAGATAATGCAAGTATAATGACGAGTTAACTCATCATTGATCAACAATGTCTGGGCATGAAAAGACAAGTTAAGCAGTCACCAGTTAACAATGTGTTAGTTAATTAATTATGTGTATGTACTTTCAAATTTCAAAATAGCTATTTGGTGGATTTGTAAAGAATTAATTGTCTATCCCTAATTGTATAAAAATATTTTTACCAAGTATAATAGTATTGTAAATATAATGACTTTTTAGGGTTGCTGATAGATTAGTTTTTGAGCTATCGTGACAAATTTGTTTGTAATATAATATTTGCAAGATTTCTTATGAAGCATGTTTTAGAAGCCTATTTACTAATTAAATTAATATTTTGAAATATTTTACTATTTTCTTATATAATTTAAACCAAATTATCATCAAGTAGTATTAAATATGTTTAAAAAAAATTTGTTCAAGCATGCTGCTTTTCCATGTAACATGAATATTTAACATTTTTTGTGCATTCTATTTTTTAAATTGTTTATCCATCCTAGTCATCATGAATGTTTTTTCCTATCCTTATTAACATTCTGGTCAAAATCGGGGGCAAAAAATACAAAATGTCCATAAATTATGGAAGTTACGCTTAACCGGCATTAATATTTCTTGCTAAATATCTATCAATCATGCATTTATTTTATTCAAATTTTTTTTTCATTAGAGAAAATATTTTTCATGACCATTTTGTTATGGTGCACAATTTAGAAAGTATTGTACTGAATTGATGCCATAGATTTAAAAAAAAATTTATATCTGTGCTAGGCTAGCACAAAATTTCTATTTCACGGATAATTTTTTCGTGTTTCATTTGAGTTCATTAGAAAATGTTTTGCCCTCATATTTTTAAAACTTGTTTTTCCTTTTTTAGAGCTTTTTCCGTTTCTTTCTCGACGTCTTGCTAGTAGTATGAAAGGTATGATAATATTTGTAAATAAATTTTCTATGTTATGCATGACATTTTATAACAACTTATTTCACTAAAATTGAATGCGTTGAAGTCTATATCTGATATGTATAACTCAATATCCTTAACCTTGGATGGAAAAAAAATAATTATGCATGGGACAATAAAATTCGATGTCTGCTGCGAGAGGAAAATATGGTTTATTGCTTTCCAACAATATTATAGTTTTATATTTTTTATTCCGTTAGGCTGTGATTTTACTTATAATTGTCTTTTTATATTCAAATTTAAGAAAAAGAACTTTATTTCATTCTCAATCATTCTTTTGGATTTTTTTTAACCCTTTTTTTTAAAAAAAAAGAAAAAAAAATAATATATATATATATATATATATATATTATTTTGAGTGTCATACTTTCTCTCATAATTGAAATCGCCCAAATTTTGAGCACAAAAACAACCGTTTAAAGTTATTATAAAAACGTATAACTATATTAAAATTTTGATGTTATGCAGTTTGAAAATAAGTTATGGCAAAATTACTCTAAAAAAATTCCAAAGTGGTATTCACACTTTTTGAAAGAGACATGAGATTAATTAATAATTTGTATTGTTTCTCATGTTTATCTTAATATCCCATTATATTTCCTTTTAACACTATTCTAGTTCATCTATTGCATGTGTTGAATTTTTTTACAGATCCTGAAGTAGATGCTGCCGCTACAATGCTCACTTTAAAAAATTCTCCAAGTGTAATTACCCAAAGTTAGTATTTTTAATTATATATTTAAGCGTACATTTTAGCATGTGATAATTATTGTTATACTGAATTTTTTAGATAAACCAACCATTCTTTTGTGAATGCTTGTTATTTAACCTCATTTAAGTTGGTGCTCAATCTAACCCATTTAATAAAAAATATGTTACTGCACTATTCTTTAAATATTAGTAGTTATGTAATAATATTTTTTTTCATTTCATACTGTATTTTTTATGTAGTAATTTCCTATTGGGTAATAAATTAGACATTTGCTTACATGTGAACTCATAATGCATGAATAACAAGGTGGATTTCAATTCCTTTCTTATAAGAATTATTTTGATAATTTCGTATTTATGTTATAATTTTTGTTTTTATGATATTTTCTTGTAAATTGAAATTGTTCTCTAATAAAGTTCAAGTTTTTTTAAAATAAGTATTTTTTTATATCATCCTTTTTGCAATTGTTCCTTTCAAATTCTTGATTAAGTATACAGGCTAGAACCTATGATCAATTGTCTTATTTGGAAATGTGTTGTATCCTCCTACTAGCATTTATTTCTATCTTCCACACTCAGTTCTTTAAATATCTCCACATTTAATGCATCCTTCCTGTAACATTTCTTCGTCTTGTGAGGATCTCTTGTTTCACATTCATAGTATAACATTGCTCACACAACATTTATGAACGATTACACATTCTATTCTTCTCCATAAATTTCCTGGTTTCTGGTTTTTTATAAAATTCTTTAATCCTAAAACTGTTCTTAAAAGTAGTTGTAACTGCGTGTTTTTTTTTTTTTTTTTTTTTTTTTTTTTTTTTTTTTTGTTCTAAATTTTCCTTAGACTTGCAGGTTTTAAAAATTGATATCTGGCTGGGACATTTTTATCTGTCTCTACAAAAAATTAATTACAACATGATTGAAAGTTCTTCTATTTGTTTCTTCTCCTTCATTTAAATGTTAGCTCAAACTTCCCCCTCGTTTGATGCCTGTACTGTCTAGCTTTCCTATTAGGATTAGAAAACAATTCATTTTCTTTATTTGTTCTGCGTTACATTCTTTCTTTACATCCTTGTTGTAGAACTGGCATGGCAAACTTGGGCAAATTTTAAGCAAAATTTACATATAAAAAAACGTAACATATTTCAACAGTGTAAAATTTCATTCAAAATTTGAAACACATGATAAGTAACTGTTATGAAAATAATGCCTTGATGTCTGATGTTTACTTTCACATTGCAACATAAACTTTTATATTTATTATTTTTTAATGCACAATAATTAGAATAAATTTTTTCTTTCATAATTGAATTCAGTAAAAATTAGGTTTTATCAAATATAATTAATTTTCCGCACTTGAAACTGTTTAAATTATCACTTTTCTTAATGAAAATTTTTTTCAAAATTCATTCTTATGTAACTTGCCCTAGGCATGACAAGAAATATAGTTTTAGAGCTCTGCTCCTATCTCTCTAATCCAAAAAAGAAAGTCATTCTTTAAAAAATAGGAAGCACACAGTATGCATAGAGGGTCATTCCACCTCAAATCGTACAGGATTTTACGAAAATGGCACCCACCGTCTCAGATTTTGATGAAAATTTGTACACTTATAGAATTTTTGATGCTGATTTCAAAAATATCAATTATATTTAAATCAGTTAAGGGTTTAAAAGTTATAAGTAGAGCCCGGAATTTGATGACCTAAAAAATCTCAACTAATGCCCTTAAAAAATGCCCTGAAAAAGTGTGAAAATTGCGCTAAAAATGCCTTATGACATGACTTAAATAAAGTAAAAATATCGAACTAAAACAATGTTTTACTCTTTAAAATTATGAGTCATTTCAAAAACTATAAAGCAATGGAATACTTGTTCTACGTTCATTAAAGTTTGAAAAATATGTTTTATATCCTAAAATAACAAAAAAAAGAAAAATATATTGGCATCAAAACATTTTCATTTTGTATAGAAACTTTAATGAATATACCAACTTACATCTAATAATATTACTAATTATCAGAATTACATTGGATTCTTAAATGTTTTTCGATATTTTGAAATGTAAACAAGCTTCTTTCAATGTCTACTGATGTTAATAGTGCGTACTTGAAAAAGACGGTCTCACTGACAATTCTTATTCAATTTGAAAAGTTGTTGCTTCACCTGTTAGTATCCTAGAGATTTTCTTCATTGTTTGGAAGCCTGTGTTCTTCTCCAAACCTTTGTTCAATTTAGCTGCTATACTTCGTCCTATTTTTCCCCTTGCTTTTTGCAACACTCGACTCAGTACATCAATATAATTTATTGCATTGCTAAGATCGAGTTCTTGTTTCTCCAAGCTTGTAATTGTCGAGGACACAATAGCAAAGTTAGACTTGATAAATGCTAAATTTCCTTCGATTTTATCAGAAGCGAACACGTTTAGCGCTATCTTAATTGATGCAGCACCTTCTGAATTCAAAACTACTGACGATAGACTTCACTATCTTAAAATTTTCACTGTAGTATACGCATGCATCCAATCAGGCACCCCATCGTGTGATTATTAGTTTAGGGGACAAAGCTGACTGGGAGCGAATGTTTTGAAACATTCTTTGAGAGTTACAATATGAAATGTAAAATTATGAGACAAATCTTGCATTTCATGTAATAAAAATAATAAAAATTGGAAAAAATTAACAAAAACCTTAAAAAAGGCTTTAAAATGCAAAATACGCCCCAAAATTTTTTAAAAAATGCCCTATAAATCTAAAAAAATGCTCTAAAGGACCAAAAATGCAAATGTCATCAAAATCCGGGCCTTAGTTATAAGCATTTATATTTTTGCCAAAATGGCACATTTGCCGCCATTTTGATTCATACATCATAGGCTATTAATGATTGTAACTCACCTTATATTTGTCATAGAGCAATAATTTTTTTTTTATTTTGTTCAGAATAAAATAATCTGTCATTTAAACACATTTGTTTGCAAATAATTATCTTACTTATTTTGTAAATGGGTCTGTTTTGCAGTTTTTTGATCAACGGAGTTGAGTAACTTCAGGAGCTGATTTCTGGCAACTCGCCCCCTTCAATTTCAAAAATATTTTAGGCAAAGATAGTTGAAAGTGCAAACTATCATCTGATATAAAAATTTTGATGGGTGGTTCACTAACTTTTTTTAAAAAAATATTTTTCTTATGAATTATTATGCATTAAAAGTATTGGTAGTTTGATGATTCATAGTCCTTAATTGTAACTGTAACTAGAGTATAATAATAAGAGAATGGTAGAAAAATATGTAAAATAAAGTAATAATTTATTAAATTATTTTTTTCTTCTTTATTTGAGCCCCCCCCCCCTTCAAAAAAGAAAAGGAAAAAATTGGAGAATGAACAAAATTTCACCTTTTTTGTAAATAAATTTATCCAGAATCATATACCTTTGATAAATAAGAGTGATCAGAATCTAAAAAAAGATAAATAAAAGTTTCTCTAAAAGAGTAGAGGGCAATACCAAATAATAAAAAACAGCCATTAAATTTTATTTTTAATTGAACTAACTTTGATCTTTATGGAAGGAGAGAAAATCATTGTACACTTTATTTTAATTCAAACATTTTGTTTGATTCTAAAATGTAATTCAAGACCAAATTATGAATATTTATAGTTAATTTTATCCTTTTATTTGTCACAATCAGGGTTGGCAAGGTTTAGGACAGAATGGATGAATCCACGGTTTAAACCGTCCTGTCCAAAACCTCTTTGTCCAAAACTGTCTTAAACTGTCCAAAACCCTTTTACTCAAATTAAGTCACAATTTTATCTGAACAATATTTAGAAGGTAAAATAAACATAGAACTAATAACATATTGATAATTAAATCTACTAGAGAATATTTGTTTTTAAAAATATAATGTTTTATTAATATTGTTTGACTCTTCAATTTAAACAATAAACAAAGGAAGATTAATCAGCAATCAAGTTCAATTGGTCCTCTCCTTCAATAGTACATAACTGAAGTTTGACCTTTGCCATACAGGTTGAGCTATTAGGGACTAAGTGCTTGGTTACTCATAACCCACGTGTCCTTTCCAAAACCAGTTTAGGACGTCCAAAATCCCAACCCTGGTCACAATGATTGTTATGGTAATGAGATACTCCTAAAAAATTTCTTTTAAAACGCTGATAAAGCTCAAAATATTTAGTTTCTATTTATTTTAATTATATTGAAATGATTTTAAATCACCAACTATCTGATAATTTGTATGCTCTTATTTCATCACTAACACTTGCAGGCCTTTTTTATTCTGTAAGACTTTTATTATAATTAGATACATCCAAATTTTTTTTTCAAAAAAAACGTCTGAATAGAAAAAAATACTAAAAACTATTGACACACTCCATCCCTACCTTCCCAAAAAAGAAATTTCACTAATCAGAATGTATCATTTGCCAGAACATTTCTGTTTGTTCCAATCAGAATTGAGTCTCATGTAAAATTTATTTTCTTTCAAATCAATAAAATGGTATTTCCATTAATTTAGAACAGAATAGAAATAAGTTTTCAAAAATTTTATATGTATCAATTTTGTATTTAAAGAAGAGTTTTATTATAGAAACCCAAGTATTATGTAGTATTGGATTAACTTTGAAAGATTTTAAATGCAGTTTAAACTCACAGAAGATTTTGGAACTTTCTTTTGAGAACATAGAATTTATTTTATTAAGGAGCAATTTAAGTTTTAAGAAAAGTTCAACTATATGCCTTATACATGAGGAGCATATCTTGTATCAGTATAAAATATTTATTTATATATATATATAAACTTTGCGACTTATTTAATTCTCCTTCCAATAAGACCAAGAAAGTATGGAGCTAAATTGCAAATTTCAGCAATCCCTGGCCAGAAATTGTGTTTGTGATGCAGAAATTGCGTTTTTCTTGTTCATTCTCAAATTTTTTCCTTTCTTCTTTTCTTTTTCGAGGGGGGGGGGCTCAAAGAAAGAAGGAAATATATAATTTAATAAATGATCACTTTGTTTTACATCATAATCTACCATTCAAATTTTTTTACATCATTTTATTATAGTCAAGTTACAATTAAGGACTATAAATCTTCAAACTACCAGTACTTTTAATGCATAATAATTCATAAGAAAAATATTTTTTTTAAAAAAGTGAGTGAACCGCCCATCAAAATTTTTATATTAGATGCTAGTTTGCACTTTCAACTATCTTTGCCTAAAATATTTTTGAAATTGAAGGGGGTGAGTTGCCAGAAATCAGCTCCTGAAGTTACTCAACTCCGTTGATCAAAAAACTGCAGAACAGACCCATTTACTAAATAAGTAAGATAATTATTTGCAAACAAATGTGTTTAAATGACAGATTATTTTATTCTGAACAAAATAAAAGAAAATTATTGCTCTATGACAAATATATGGTGAGTTACAATCATTAATAGCCTTTGATGTATGAATCAAAATGGCAGCAAATGTGCCATTTTGGCAAAAATATAAATGCTTATAACTTTTAAACCCCTTAACTGATTTAAATATAATTGATATTTTTGAAATCAGCATCAAAAATTCTATAAGTGTGCAAATTTTCATCAAAATCTGAGATGGTGGGTGCCATGGCTGGATGAACTGACATGGAATGACCCTAGAATGAAAAGAAACTCCCAAGTTACTAGTTTGACAATGTTAAGTGAGATCAGAATCTGTTGAGAATTAACCAATAGATTTTCATTGCATTATATAAACTCAGGTGGAAAAGGCTTGAAGAAATGAAACAAGCCATAAATTTTATGAGAACAGAAGAGAAAAATCTTTTTTTAGTCTTCTAATTAGCATAATGTAATGAATTATTTTCTTGTTACAATATACATAATATGTTAAAGAACTATATTAGCTGGACAAACATGCATGAAAAAGTGCTATTTTATTTTGTATTCTCAAATTTTCATTGCATGCATCTAATTTGAGATTAAGGTTTCAATTTTTTCTTTTAATTTTTAAACTTTCCTTTGCAAAATTTCAGGCATCAGTGAGGAATCAGAAAATGATTCTATACAATCCAATCAAAAATTTGTTCGTAAAAGATTAAGATTGAAGTAAGTTTTGTTCTGCTTCTATTTTATACAATTTTTGTTTAAAAAATTTAGATTACTGAAAGTAAATTTTTAAATATTTATCTATATTGCTAATCTGAATAAATTAGATGGAATCATCTTTTTTTTTTAATGTATCATTTCATTTTATTTTTTATCAGATATCTATGAGAACAGTCATATGACAAGACAAGTATATTTATTTATTTTTGTATTAAAAGTTAATTAGATTCTAATTGATAATTTTTCCATTAATGGCAACTCTGCTTGTATTAGGAATGCATAATTCATGTAATATGCATATTAATAAAAGAAATTTGCATTTTAGTATTTCTTAATTTTTTTAATCTTTACGAAAGTTATTTTGAATATAAGCGGTATGGAGGCCTGAAAAATACTCCATTTGCCTCCCTCTTATGACGACTTTGGTGACTTCTTAGAATCGTAATATATCATATTCTATGTGTACATCATGTAATATCATATTCTTAGAATTATAATCCATTGTCAAAAAGGTAGTATGGGTGATATTCAATCATTTGTAGAAATTTTTATAACCCATATATGTTCATTAATGTCGAAAAGATAAATTCAAAATCTTTGTAAATTTCTTTTTAGAGGCTCAATAAATTTATGAATTATTATTGCTAAATATTAATTGATCTCTGATAAAAAAAAATCTTTATAGTTTTTATTTTTAATTATAACCATAAATATCATTGAAAAAGCAGAAAGCAATCAAATGTATACAAATAGAAGTAGTGAAGATATGGTTCAGTATTTTTGTAACGTTGTGATAGAGATTGACTTAGCATCTATTAATCTTGGCACTAAAGAGGATGCTTTTTCAATTCATACTATTATTTCACACCCTCCCTATATATATTTATGCAGTCAAACCCCACTATAGTGAACCTTCAAGGGACCAAAATTTTGGTTCACTATAACCGGGAGTTCACTATGTCCGTTACGCAGGCAATTTAACTAATGGTTCCCAAACTCCTCCCTTTTATTACACATCATTTAAATTAATGACTGAAAAATATTATGTAGTAGCAAAAAAATGTTGTTTTTTTTATCTTCATTACTCTTTGTCTTGTGTACAAAAAAAATTGGTAATCTTTAGCTGATGAGCAATCCTCAGCATGTTCAACAACATTATGGAAACACTTCCCGAATCTCAGATAATTTTTCCTGAATTTCTGTTATTCCGCTTTTTAAACCTCTCTAACCTGCCACTGGAGCACATAAAAGTAGTCTCATAAAATTGCTTAGCAAATTCATCGACATTTGTCCAGATACTGGAAGATTGCAGCTTCTTGGATTGGTGAACAACTTCCTTAATGCTTCTTCAACATCCTTGAGATCTGCGTTTCTCAACTTTTTTCTGCCATCTAAATTTTTTTCATGAGCAGAAATTATTAATTGCCTATTTTTCCACATGTTGCAAACTGCAGATTTTGTTAGTTTATATTCCCTGCAAATATATGCTTGATTGCATCCATTTTCAATTTTTCTGATTATGCCCATTTTATCATCAATGGAGAATGTTTTACGTTTAATGCTCGCCGTAGTTAAATTTGAGACACTTGTTTGCAGGATTTTTTTAACTGAAATGAGAGCAAAAAGGTGTTGAAATGAGGGCCTTGTCAATACATATTATTGCTCAACCCTTTGACCAATAATGCATAATTACTCATTCCCTCTGACAGAAAATGCATATTGATCCCACTGACACCTTACAGGTGCATCGTCTGCCTGGGTTGGAAACATCTGCTTGGTTTGTTTAGGGATGGGAAAGTGAAATAAAAGAAGCAAACAGGAAAAAATGTTTATCGCTACATTCCCCTCTATAGATTGTTTTGAAAATCGGTATAAGTATTTATTTTGAAGTAGAAATTTCAAAATTATTACAAAAAAAAATTTTAAAAAGTCAGTTGAAGACAAAAAAAAGTTCATTGTATCCAACTTCCTCACTTTTTTGGTTCACTATGTCCACAAAAAATAACATTATCCGTGTATAGCAAGGCACAGGATGGAACATTTTGTTCACTATATCTGGGAGTTCACTATAAACCGTGTTCACTATATAGCAGGGTTTGACTGTATATCTTGATCAAATTTTCAATCTTTAATTATTCATCCACTCAAGCTCAAATACATTTTTTTTAAACTTGTAGTGGACGACACTTGATGTTAATACAGTTTTTTTCAAATATTAATTCATTAATTAAATTTATGTTTTATATTGGAGAAAAAAATTTCTCTTTTATAAGATTTTTTTATGCGCATGGAATAATAATAAATGCCTTATACATATTTATATTAACTGTAATTATTTAATAAAAAGGAATTTTAGAAAAAAATTCTTTTTTGACCTTAGTAGTACAGTACAGAACCCGTTATCCGGAAATCGGAAAACCAAAAAACCGGAAAGAAATTCAATAAATTTTCCCGCCATTTTTTAAAAAAAAATTTTTTTTTTCCCTCATAAGATTTTAGGATTTTTCTTTCTTTTTTGAAAGATGTTTACCTTACTATCATTTTGGAAATAATCATTAGTGTATTACTTCATCCTTTTTTCTTCTTTTTAAGATTATTTCCAAAAAAAATTATTTTTTTAGTTGGGTTTAACAATAAAAAAACGGCTTTTTGTAGCGATTCAGAAAACCGGAAAAATCAGTTATCCGGAATAGCGATGGTCCCGATCGTTCCGGATAATCGGTTCCCTACTGTAATTGACTTTTAATTTTTTTTTTGTATTACTTGTCATTTATTTATTTATTTAAAAAATGCATATTGTCTCTATTTTTCTTTCACAATTTTTATTTGGGCTTATTATAATTTTTCAATTCCATTTAGCATTGACCTAATCCTCCTATTCTTATTCAACTATTGTTATGGTTTTCGTACTGCATATTTTAATTCGTCAAATTTTCGCTTTTTGCAGGCATGTCTCACAAACACCTGCAGCCAAGAAAATTAAAGTCACTAAACCTGTAATAACTAGCAGTCCAAGTGAAGATCACACCTACAGTGCCTGCCTGAATGATCCAAAATGTAGCCTTAGTATAACATCAGAGCTAGATGATGAGTTACCTCGATGGCCTGGCGAGAAAAACAACAATGATGGAAAGGTTACTTTCAATGGAAAGTGCACATCCAAAGTGACCTTGCTGTCAAGAAAAAACGAGGCAGAGGAAGGGGCTCATGCTCTTATGAATTTGGCTGAAATTGCTTCAAAACGATTGTTAAGAAAGTCTCATGGCAAGCATTCTTGAATAAGTGTGTTTTGCTTTCTGTGAGGACATTAGTACAATCATTTTTAAATATTATCTTTTTTGCTAGTAGTTTTTCTTTTGTTTTATACTTTTTATTTATATTGTATGAAGGACTGTATAATTTATAAAATAATGAACATTGCCACAACTTAAAATTAGAATATTATTTGTGAGTGTCCAATGGCTATAATTTTACTAAAACTAAAGGCTTTTTTTTTTTGTTATAGATTTTTGAAAGGTTTTATCTAATGAATTTAGAAACGTGGTTTGATTAGAATTGTTAAATGAAACCTGCAAAGCTGACTATCTCCTCAAACTGATCCATTCCCAATCTTATTTAAGTCAATTCAACAAGTACAATTATAAAAGAAATGGCGTAATTTATGCCTTTACGAAATGATTAATAAACAAATGTTGCCTTGCTTGTAGTCAGCTAACATAGATTTAACAGCATCATTTTTCTTTATCACTTCATAATCATCATGTCCCCCCCCCCTCTTTTTTACTCTTATTATTAACATTATTCAATTTTCCTGCTAATCAAAACAATTTTTGGAAATATTTTACTTTACTACTAATTTCGAAGAAAAGTCATTAGTTTTTTTTTTTTTTATTATTGCTGATTCAACATAATTGATATCTTTTATATATTAATCAACACTGGTGTAAATTTACTACTACAGGTCATCTATTATTCACATGATGAATATTTTACTGATATTGCAATTAGTTTATCTATCCATCCCAATATTTATAATAAAATCATTTCAGAATAAATGAAACGGTAGGTATTAGTTGATTGTAGCTGAATTGATTAATCTCAAGTTTTAATGATTTGTTGGTTCAATACTTGATCAGGGTGGCTATCCGCCTAGAATTATCAGTAAATTTTTTATACCGGAAAAGTCAGGGAAATTTGCAACATATTTTTTCTTCGATTTTAGTATTTTAAATTATTTTACCATCTGTTATACCCATTTTTTTAGACAGAAATTATCACCAAAAAGTTGAAATATCAACTTTGCTATAGTTTGCATCAAAATTTGCTCCATCCTGTTAAACTATTATGCCACATGAAGCATGGTTGCTAAATAAACGTAGAAACCTTTGTCCTCTTACGAAAATATGCAGTTTAGTAAAGGCAAAGATTGTGGTGGTGAAGGTGAAAAAAGGGGTTAAGTTTAAGTTTGTTGTATTATTTTTTTTTCTTTTGACAAAATGTTCTAATATTTTTAACTTTATAAAATTTACCGAAAATTAGTTGGATAAAATTAATTAACACTCTTTTTCTGAAAGCTTTTATACTCCTATCCAAAGAAATCGTTGAATTAGTTTTTCTCAGCGAAGCCAACTAATCACACATTTTCTTACAATCGCTAACAGCATTGCTTGTCGACAAATCGTTATAATTGTTGTATTGATGCTAATTTTTCAATTTAATGTTTTATAACACATTTCAATTTGAAAAGGTTCTTTTAAGAATTATCAATATCTTTGCATCTAATTTTACAAATTCGCTGGTAAATATTTGATTTTTGATTCGAATAGTGTAGTAATCACAAAGTCGAAATTTCGTATGCGTTGCTTGCATTCCAGAGATTATGTTTCCGAAACTTTTTCACCTTTTACCTTATAAAGCTGACAACAACATATGTGTTTATTAGGATGAAGGAGAACGAAGCTTTGATTTTTTGTTCTGCACTATACAAGTATAAGTTTCTAGTTGTAAAAATAGAAAAACTTAACTAATCTAAACTTAAAAAAGCCATGTGGTTAGATTGAAATTCTTTAAGTATTTCAATTTCAAATAGGAAAAAAAAAAAGAATAAAATTTAAGAAATTTTGTCCTGTTCTTTTCCAAAGAGTATGCAACAAGAAATTAGACAAATTTGCATGTGCAACATTCATTCTTGAATACTAAATATATTTTAAAATAATAATGCCAATTCAAAACAAGCAACATTATTTAAACATTCGACTTTAAATATTGGTTTAAAGAAAGTATGACCAATGAATTTTATAAAGAGGATTGTTTGGATAAAATACAGTATAAAATGGCTCTATATCAAAATGTGAATAAATATAAAACTTTATTGAAGTATAATATTCTTAAATTATTTTTTTTTTTTTGCTTAATGAAAATATATTGAAGGATTCTGTCCAAGATTTTTTGGGTCGCTCTGGATTTACCATTTGGTACACTTAGTGCAAAAGCTTTTTAAGTAACAAATTAAAACATTTTTTATTCAATAAAAACATTATAGTTTACAAGCTAAACGTATTATTTTCTCCAAATCAATAATCTTTTAAAAATTAAATATCGTACCAAAACTTTAAAAAGTAAACAACAACATCTTGCGAAATTGTTAAAATAAATTTAGTCAAATAATTCTTTCAAGATATATTTAAATAAAATAACATTTTAAATAAAATACTTCATTGAAATTTTTTTTTTGTACCCATCCTACATTTTATGAGGGAAAAGAGAAAAAAACACTGATCTTGAAATTTTTAGATTTTTACTTGGAAAAATTGGGGAAATTCAAAACTTGATTTGAGTGGCCACCCTGCTGATTGAACTGATAAAGTAATTTTTGAGGTGTAATTGTTTTTTTTAATTTTTTCATTAAAAAAGTTGTGTAAACTAAGTGGATTGTTAGACAATGTTTTTTTTTGTGTAAACTCTTATTTCTAATTTATCTAAAAAGATAGAAGCCCAAAAAAGAACTCTTTATTTTGCTTATCATCTTAAATATGTCCGTCTTTCTTCATCTTATCAACTAAAAATTTTTATTTTATTTATTGTTAATGGCTCTTCATTTTGCACAGAATAATTTTATCATATTTCTACATTTAAATTTTTCTTATTTTCTACACTTATATAGTAATTAACATACTTAATAAGTAAAAAATTGCCATTCTCTATCATTTGATAACAATAAATTTTACTATTTGCTGATAGTTTTAAAAAATTTGTATTTTAGATACAAAATTAAAAAGCCTCAAAACCTGTAGAATTTTTTTTTTTTTTTTTGTAAATAATATTATTAGTTGATGTTATTTTAGCATAACCTTTTGTGATTGTATTTGTCTTTATTTGTATTTGCAGTGTTTTGTAATCTTAACTATTTATTTTTTCAAATATTATCTATTAATTGTTTTCAACTATATCTATGATACACTTTTTAAACAACCTATTATTTTCAAAGAATTCATATATATGATATGTGATGTAAGAAAATGTGATATGGATCTATAAATTTGATGCATTTTGCAAAACTTGTTTTTGTTAAAAAGAATATGAGGAGAGAAATGCTTAATACTTTCTAAGTTGCCAAATGTTTATAATGAAATGCAATAAAATTTCAAGCATGTACTATTTTGCATTGAACTGTTATATAAAGCACTTTTAAAATTTATCACTGTCTATAACGATTTGAAAATTAGTTTCGTATTTGTGCCAATTTCAAGGTTAGGAAAAAAGAAATTTTTATGAATTCTTCGTTTTGGATTTTAGGTAGTTAAAATGTTAATCATCAGATGAAGTTAAAATAAAAAAAAGTTCATTTAACTTTAATCTATTTTAAACTAACTCTATTATTTTATCGAGTGCTTAAAGTTCGAAAAAATCCGTCAATAATATCAGTAAGAAAAGCATTTTCAATGCAATATTGGTAATTATATTTAATTCATGTTATTATCTTTATCAAATAATAATAATCAATTGTATCTGGAGGATTTCTAATTGAATCTCAAATTTTTTTTAATAAAAAAGAGATTTTTACACAAATTCATGTGTAAAAATAAATTATGGATTAGATTACATAACTGCGAATTAGTTTAATTTATGAATATGTGTTTCTTCAGGCTCATATCTCATCCCTAAATTTTGAACATTTCATTAAAATTTATGCCTAATAGTATTAAATGTATTTTAATTGCATTCATTTTAATAAATTAATTGATAGCTACATCACTTGATTCTAGAGGCAAAGTATATCGTTATGCTTTTTGTTTAATGTCTATTAATTGAATAAAACTTCCTTTGTGTTCTTAAATCAATAATTTTTTGATAAATTACTTTAGCCAATTGTTAATTTTTTTAAGGATTATTTCAATTTAAATATGTTAAGTACTAAGAAAAGGGGTGTGTTTTCTGTTAAAATGTTATTCATTTGATGTATTTTTCTATTGAAAAATTTGTAGATAAATGTTAATTTTAAAAGGAAGGATTTAAAAACAAAAATATGATATTTACGTTAAATTCAAATAAATTACCTTGCTTAAACAATGCAGTTTTGAAAATATTACTATGCAGTTTTCAACACATAACTATGCAGTCTTCAATATTTTGCTATGCATATTTTGCATCAAGAGCTGATACTCAAAAACTAATTTGAATAATGTGTTATTAATAATGCATTAAATAATTTTAACTTTAATTGCTATAATTATATGAATTATATCATGCAGTTTTCAATATATTACTATGCATATTTTACATCAAGAGCTGATACTCAAAAATTAATTTGAATAATGTGTTATTAATAACGTGGTAAGTTTTTTTAACTTAAGTTATATAAATTATCAAAATTTTTATTATCACAAAATAAAAATTCTTGTTCTAGGTAGTAAAATAAAAGTTAATGGTTCTGAAAAATTATGAAAATGAACTTTAATAGTTTTTTATTATTATCGTATATCTTTTGATACTGTATAAAGATATTAATTTCAGTTTAATAAAGTACTCCAGTTGTTAAAAAGCACTTTTTATTTAAAGGTGTGCATGCGTATATTAACTATCACATTATTCTGTTAATATCAGTATTGTATCTGTGATATTCATCTTAGTACTTTCTAGTACGAATCACTATTCAATGGCTGGAAGCCATATTTTAGACTGTAATCCTAAATCAAGATTTTTAATACTAACTTCTTGTATTCATGTGTAATATTAAAAGTTCTGTTGTATTTTAATTCACTTAGTTGCATAAATCCTGAATCAGAGATCTCAATATGAATGGTGTTTTCAACACGAAATTAAGAATTAACAAATGCTTGCAATCTTATGTGTGTGATGTGATATTCTGAAAAATCTTATATTCTTCTAAATAAAACGAATCAGTAAATTAAAAGATGAATATAAATTTCTAGTGGATATTAAAAAATAAGAGATGTTGCTTAATTTAGATTTTTTAAAAATTGCTGTATTTACTTACCTGATTTGGTTCTATTCCAGCACTTGTTAATATGTATGTTAATTCATTCATTGTTAATTTCAGTTTTGTAAAAATAAGACTTAACATGGAAAAATGTACAACAATCAACATATTGTGCCAAAAATGGCAAATTGTGCCAAAAATGGCAATGAAAAAGAATAAATATAATGAACCTGACATATCTAGAACATATGTCAATGCCTTCTTATTTAGAAAACACCATCCATACATATGTGTTAATTCTGCTATTAATAATATGACCTAACTAATAACTTTTTCTAATTTCTCCTAAATTGTTGACACCTAAATCCTATATAACTGCAATCCTTTTCATATACAAAATGAAATTGGTGTATATTTAAGAAAATCTTTTAAAATTCTTAATTAAGATAAATTATGTGGTAAAAATTATAAAAGTAAGCAAATTAATGATTTTCAATTGGTGTAAGGTCAGCTGTTGAAAATGTAATATTTGTAGTATCGCAAGGCTAAATCAAGTGTGAATAATTTAGTCTCCTGATTTAGTTGAACCATTTTTTGTACTAAGTTTAAAAATAAATAGCTTTGTAAATTTTAAGTAACTCAAGAATTAATTTAAAGAAACTACCTCTTGTAAATTCTTCAGCCACTGTTTTCTGTGTTGTGTATATAATGGAGTTTATAATTGTTAAATAATTAATTGTGAATCTCTTTTTGGAATTATTCCTTTCTCAATGGGTTATATGCATCCCATGTATTTGATTGCAACAGCTGTTGAAAATTTAATTTTATGTCTGTTTTTGTATCACTAATGAAATTTGCTGAATATCTGGGTTTGAGCAACTTGCTCTCGTTATGAAATTCTATTAATTTGAATGTAAGTTCTTGCCTTCTAACTTTTACTTTTTTTTAAACTGAAGAAAAAAACATATACTTTTTTTTTTTGGTGTTTAAAATTGTAGAACATTTGTGTGAAAGTTTTTATTCTTTCTCATTCAAGAATATTTGGTTTGTTTAGGCAATTGCTCCATGCTTGCACATTTTTTATAAATATAAAAAAATGCTTGGATTTTTATAATTACTAGTTAGAAGAAAAAAATTTTGTTAGCAGAAATGATATACCATATATATTTCTGTCACATCTGATACCTATTGCTCAATTAAGATGTCTTCTATGATGTTATTGCAAAAAATATATACTATTTATATGTATCTATTTTCACCTGTAGTTTCTTTTAATTTCTATTTCAAATTACATTGGTTGTAATTAAAGTATAAATATTCTACTTATGAAACATTTAATATACATGAAAAGATTACTTTTACAGTATATTAAAAACAAAAATAGCTCTTGCATAATAAATCATGACTTTAAAAAAGAAACAAATTATTGACACTTAGAAATAAATGAGTTTATATTGATTTCAATCTATAGATAGCGAATGTTAGAAAAATATTTTGGGTTGATGTTACTTCTAAATGCAAGTCAATGACTAATTTACTGCTCAACTGTTGGAGACCTAGAATATTTCTTGTTAATGAATTACTTTGCACAGTTATTTCATAAAAGTGTTCTTAAAAAGTCAGTAAACTTGTTACTCGAGCTGAATTTGAAATTTTAATTTGCGACTGCGTAACTGAGTGATACTATTTGTCCTTGTTTTGTAATATTTCCCATTATACCAATAAGTTAATATAATAGTTGAATTTATTTTCAAAAATTTTATCAGCAAAATGTTAATTGACTATAACTTACTTTTCCCCCTCAAAGTTGTGTAGATTGCATATTAGCACACAAGCCATTTTAAGGAGATCATGCTCTATAGAATATCAGAATTAATAAGGTTCAATTGTAACTACATATATTTAAAAAAAAAAAAAATCTTAAATCATATAAACAACCTTCAGTTCCCTCTCCATTATACAACTGTGTTTCGTAAATTTTCTACAAGTTGATGATTTAGAGTTACTGATTATAACAAAAATTATATTGAATGATTTATGTAACATATTAACAATCACAGTAATAAAAAAGGAACGAAAATTTTTAATCATAGAGTTTTTTAAAGCAAGTAAAAATTGTCTAACAATAATATTTGTGAGTTAAATTTGAATTGTGAATAAACAAAAGAAAATCAGAAATTATTAAATAATTATATAATAAATTATCTAATTTTAATAAAAAATTTAAAATAATAGTTTACGCCTAAAACATTGTTTTCATAGTCGTTAAATTATTATCTTGAAAGTATATGAATTGGGGACAGAAAAAATGGTATAAAATAAGATAAGTTCAAAAAAGGAAATTGTTCAGGTGAAAAAACTTAAAACATTATTAAACTTCTTTTATACTTAGTCAATAATTTGAAATGTAGGTGCGGGGTGTTTAGTGTTTAATTATGTATACATTGATATATATATATATATATTAGCTTGCTTAAAAATGTTCCATTCAAGTAAAAATTGTATAGTTTTTTTTGCGCATCTTACCATTTTCAAAACTCCCCTCATTGCTTCATACCAGCCAGATCTTTCTTCTACTTTTTTTTAACTATTACTATTAAAGTTGCCTCTTAAAGCATTCTCCTGTTTAGTTTGACAGTCTGTTATGTATATAAAAATTTTTAAAAAAATTTATTTTTTCATTTTTAGTCCTCGATTATTTAAATTGGGTCTAGTCTGGAGAGGAGTAACCAGTCAACCAGAGGCCCATAGAAATTTTTTTTAGTCCTCGACTATTTAATGTTTACAAGGTCTGAATATCTGAACAAATATATGAAGTTGGTGGCAGGACACAATCTTTTAAGTGAATTATAATAATAATAAAAAGTCATTAACATCAATCCAAGATGAATCATAATAATAATAAAAAGTCATTAACATCAATCCAAGACAAATTATAATAATAATAAAAAGTCATTAACATCAATCCAAGATGAATTATAATAATAATAAAAAGTCATTAACATCAATCCAAGACAAATTATAATAATAATAAAAAGTCATTAACATCAATCCAAGACTATTTTCAATGCCAACAGAAAAAACTGAGTTGGTTTTAAAACTACTTTACCAAGCTTGTCTCTTCTATAGAGTTGTCCCAATTAGTTTACAATTAAACAAAAAGAACCGCACGTCCTGCAGTTATGAGTCTGAGGTTACATCTTGTATGAGACACTTTTGCTTATTTTTTTAGATATGGAATGTAAAATTAATGAATCCCTTTAAAAAATAAAAGATATGATTCTACTAAAAAAATAAAATATTTTATTAGAGATAATAGTTTAAGAGCTAACTATTTTTCTTCTTTACCCTTGAGATCTCGGATTTACTAACAATTATATTTTATGTTGTTTTTTTTTAAATGAGTGTTTTGTATAATTTTTATTTATGCAGAAAACTATTGTTTTATAAAATGCATTTGTTATTCTTTCAATGCTGATTCTATATATTTAAAAATTGTTTTCACTGTATGCTTTATTTTTCCTATGCTGAGCAATAACTCATTTGTTATTTCTTCATATATATATGTGTGTGTGCACTATATTTAGTATATCTTACGATGTTGGCCAAATATGTAATTTGTCTTATAGAAAATCTGAAATATGTTTTTTTGTCTGATATATATGTATATACATATATATATATAAATGTGTGTGTCTCTATGTTTCTCTTAAAGCATCCTATAGATGTAGGTCAGCTTTGCTGTTTTTTACTAACTATAGATTTATATTTGATATTTAATCATCTGTTTGATTTTTTCCCTCTTAATTCAATCAACTTGAGTACCATGACCTATTTTTATAACAGTTTTTAGAAATTTCCTAAACTTTTAATGTGAATCAAACTTTGTATATAACTGTTGAAAATATGTGAAAATTACTTGTAAAATATATTACACAAAAGCAGATCTTTATTTCAATAATTATTTAACATTCACTTGATTCATACTTAGTGTTTTTAGTTGGGCAATTTTTAAACTCTCAGGATAATTCGCTCGAGAGTGCCATCAAGTATCAACTTCATTGATGGTAAAATAATGTATCAATCATAGAATTGTTATATATACTGCTTAATAGTCTGTATCAATTGTTTACATTACTGAATTTTGTTTTATATGAATGCTGCTTTCCAATGATTATGGTTTTGTAATTTTTTCTCAATCACTGATGTATTAGTAATTTTTTCTATAACAATTTTTGTTTTATCTTAGGTATGTTATTTTAGTGATTCAGATTTATTTTGATAAAATTGTTATTATAATCTAAAATTAATCATTGTAAATATTGTAATTTAAATTATAAGGCACAAAATGTGTGTATATATAGACCTGGAATAATCAGGTTTTGCAGTTAACATATTTGAATGCTGTTGTTGAAGTTGATAGCTTGCTTAGAATAAGGACTGTTTAAGGATTTCGAATATTATTTATTTTAACACCAATGGTACTGAAAAAAAAAACATTAACAAAATGCAGCATTTTAGTATTTAAAAAAATGACAAAAATACATAATTTCCAAATTATAAAAAAATATTTTCCCCAACAAACTTTGTCTTTACGCACAAATTCTATTATAATAATATTTATGAAAAATTGCACTAGATATAGTGTATTAAGCAAATTATTTATTGTTTAATGCACTAAAAAAATATTCTGTTTCTCACCACTTAAACAATAAATATAGTTTAATTCATTGAAAGTCAAATTATTGATACTTCTGTTTTAAAAAATCAGCTATATTGGGTTTTTTTCCCTTAAAACTCTTTTATTTTATTTATTTGCTTTACATTTTATGAAAACTACTTCGTATTATGTATTATAAATTAAATAACATATAATTTTAGAAATAGCATGATGTTGTGGTATATTTAATCATCAAAATATTGAAGTTTAACAGTATGCTGCATGAAGCAATATATTTTATGTTAATAATATTTAAATTACAACGAAAAAACTAGAAAAAGAGCAATAAAATTTACCTATGCATATAACACTTACATCATTATGAAAGTGCTGTGATTTGTCTAGGAAGTTGATTATGTATCTAAAGTCTTAGTTATGTTGTAGTAATAATTTTATTGATTTAATTAAAGCAAATCAGAATTGTACAAAGTGATATGTGTATGATGTTTCGATTGGGGGGGAAATGTATTCTGTTATACGGATTCATTAAATTTGTCCCTTACATTATTTTTTAATGTAATTAATCTTGATGGTTTCTCTTTTTTTTGTGAAAAGCAATAAATAAATATGGAGCACTAATTCCCATTATACATTCTGTTATTCTTATAAGAATAGTGTGTGTATTATTTTAAGAGAAGTTAGGCAATAAATAGTGAAATTTCATGCTATTTAAAAATAAAAAAAAATAGTAATTGCAATAGTATTGTACGAAAATGAATAATCTGAATTCTACTATTTTTATACACATGTTACTTAGTACAAAAAAACATTACTATGTTTAATATATTTCATTATAAAAGAGCATTTAATACAGAAATATATTTAGGAAAAGCCACAATCTGTTATGATAGCTACTACCTCATTCCTGTTAAATCATGCCCACTTATTAATATTTTAGCTGAATTTCTTTCACGAATTTTTATCCTAAAATTAGTCAGCCACTTTTGTAATGTAATAATAAAAGAGTACTAAAGGAATGCAATAAAAAATAAATGAATAAATTTAAAAAGAAAAAAAAAAAAAACTTTTTATATCTTTTCTCTCCAGTAAAAAGTTACATGAAAGCAGGATTTCATGCTGAAACTTCTGTGTGTTATATACTATCGAAGACCTTGTTTAAAGCTTCAATACAGATGGTGCTATTTGTACCTTATGCAACCATGTTTGTAGGGTTTCTAAAAAGTTTGCTTTCTGATTTCTTTTTGTACTGACTTTCCAGCACTTAAAGTGCTTGACTTCCTGTAAAAGAACTATTATCTGCTATTGAAAAATAAGATCATTGTTAAAAGTTCTTTAAAATTATTTTTTCCCTTTCATTTGGGGACTAACCTGTTATAAAAGTAGCTAAAAGCTTAGTTACTTTCTTAAAAGCACCAATTTTTAAAAAAATAATGATTTTTCTATAAAATATTTTTGTAGTTAATTGCTCTTTACATAATTCAATTGTTGAAAAAAAAAAAAAAAGAAGTTTTATGTCATTATTTATATTCTTGAGGCATTTAAAATATTTTATTACAAGATTTTAGTTCCATTGAAATTCGGTCCAGTTTTTATATTAGTTGAATTAGAATAGATATATTTTAATGATGGAAAACAAAGATTGAATATTCTTTATAATTTAAAGTTCATTTTAAAAATATTTCAATCTTGAACTCAGTATTAGCAGTCCATGTGCCAATACTAATTGTTTCAATTGAAAATCGTATACTGGATTTGTGTATAAAATGTGGTCACTGAGAAAATTTTCATTAACTCTTATTTTAATATTTAATGTGTTTTGTTTAGGTTTTTTTTTTTGGAACTATGAGTTTATTAACTATCATAAACAATCATTTTGTCGAACTTATATATTTACCTGTAATAAAAAATATTTTCTATATGTTGAGAGTTGTTTATTAATGTGAAAAATGCTGTAAAGACAGCTATTATTTAATAACTTGTATGATTGTGTCAACTTGATGCCATTAATAAAATAATGTAGTTTTTGTAATACTTCAAAAGAAACATTAACTTACTTTAAGAAAGAACTTTTAAGTTAGAAATATAACAGTTTAAAATATGAGTTGATTCTTTGTGACCACATATTGGTAAATAAAAAAAATTTAAGTCTTCCACAGTGAACAAAAATTAACTGTGCCAAACATCCAGTTGAAGCTTTTATGTTAATTTGTTTTTAAACTATAATTATACACTCAATATTTCTCAAATTATCATCAAAGTAATAAATTTATTAAATAAAAATTCTATTATCTACCAGTTTTGTCTTGTAATATTTGACAGATTGCACCAATATTTTTTCATGTACATATCAATAAGCTATGAAGAAATAAAATTTTTGGTGTTACATTTATTGTCTTGTGTTATTTTATTGTTCTGTAACTATAATAATGTATACAGTCAGACCTCAATATAAGGTCACTTTTCCAAAGTCTCGGCTCACTGAATAGGAATTCTTTTTACAGATTGTCGAATATATGGTCAAGTTTTAAAAATCGTTATCGCATAAGGTCATTTTTATCTGAGGTGAGGGGAGCTCTCTTCTAACAAAAGCTTATTTAACTTCCTCACAAGGCAATTACCCCTCTCGAGTTTTAGGAAAATGTTGCAACTAACGAACAAGCTACAATTTCTGAAATTGTTTCACAAGTTGTAGACGGTGAGGACAATGACAGTGATCCTGAGACTAATCTGTAACCCAAGTGGAAGCCTTCAATGCAATAAATGCCATGCGAAATTTTTTTACAAACCATGAGGGAGCTAAGGAATATTTTGAGAAGTTGCAAAATCCGGAAAGCATTGTTCGAAAAATGAAACCAAAAACGAGTCAGACTTGCATAAATGATTATTTTAAATAAGGTAAGATGTAATGTACATATGAATGCTTTGAGGAAATTTGTAAACAGCTTTATTTTGAATTAAAAAATTTAACTTTCTTTAATTCTTTACTAATTTTGTTCAAATTTATTGACTTAAATATTTAATTTATGGCAGATCATTTTCGTTTGTATTACCATTTTTAAAAAATCATAATGTGTACTTTTACGTGCTTAGTTACGAACTGCTAATGAATCGGTTAAAAGGTCACCTCGTTTATAAGGTCACTTTTGCGATGTCCTTTAGGGCAGTGTTCCCCAACCCCCGGTCCGTGGATCAAATGGTACCGGGCCGAAAATATCTGTGTTCCATTAAATTTTATTTATTTGAAAAAAAGGGGCCCCCGAAGGTAGTGACATAATTTTTAAATGTTTGTAATGTATCATTGTCTCCGATTACCCCCAGATGGAACTGTCTCATTGCAAAGAAAGAAGCTCAGGGTTCTCATTGATTTAAAGTTCTAGTAAGTTAAAATGTTAAATCACTTTCTATTTATTTTTTGGTGTTACTGTATTTTATTTTGAAGGCATGTTCAAAATCAATTAAATTAAAATTAATAAATCAGAAATATAAACAATCAATTCCCCCTCTCTTGATTCTTGTATGTTACGTAAAATCGGGATCAAAATGTTTTTTACTCAGTTAACACAAATATTTAAATGAGAATATAACTGCCTAATAACGACGTAAACAACATTTATTGTTAGCAATTTGAAAATTTTCAGTTTTTATATAAAACTCACTCTTTAAAATTTAAGAATATGCAATAATGTAATGAATTAAATATGTGTAACTTCCCTAAATTACAGCATTTACAGTTTGTAATTTGCATTAAATATACGCATGTTTATATTTCAATGAATTAGGTAAATAAATGTTCACATTAACTTTTATTGACACCATATTTATTATAAATATTGTAATTAACTACATAAAATATTTAAGTTATTGGTTATACTCTCACAGTTTTCATGCTTTTAAATAAAAAGAAAAAAAAGATTTTCCTTATAGTCCCTATTTTATAAACTTTAACACAAAAATTTTTTCTATAACATTTTTGACCAAAAAGAAAAAACAAAAGGAATGCCATTAAATTTTAAAAAGAGAGTTAAGATTAAATATACATGTTTGTTGTGATGTTCATATGTATGAAAAATGTCAGTTATAGCATTGTAGTTGTCAGTTTAGATTGCACGTAAATTGAAGTCTTACGGTATAAGCATGCGTCAATAAAAATTAAATGGATGTACAATAAACATAAATGAATACATTAAATGAAGACAAAATAACTGAAAAGTTTTTTTATTTATGTAGAAAAGTACGGTAATACCAAGATTTTCAAAACCTTTTAAGTTATAATTACTGATATGAAAGTACAGAACAAAATTTTTTTCTATAACATTTTTGACCAAAAAGAAAAAGAGATAAATGCATAAAGGAATGCCATCAAGTTTTAAAAAGAGAGTTCAGATTAAATTTGCTTAAGAATTTCTGACTTAGAAAATGTAACAGAAAAAATATTTTCTAAATTTTTTCACAATAAGCTTGCATGAAAATGAGTTACAAAAAAGTTTATTGGATATCGTTAACATGTGATTAACTTTAAACTATTACTTTTATTATGATTATTATATTTAAAAAATATATATTCCGATGTAATCTTTGTATGTTGAGAGTTTCATTGTTTTTATATTGCAAATTTAAACTGATTTATTTCTCAACAGAAATTATAAACAACAAATATTATTCCAAAATATAAAAGCACTAAAAACAAAAGGGAAAAAATATTAAAGAAGTAAAAATTAAAATTTGGAACAGTTGGTGATTGTTCTGTATTTTACATAAAGCTTTTTTTAAAAAAAAAAATAAAGTTCAGAACAATAAATAAATTTGTTTCTAAAGCAATATCAATTCACTGAAACACTCACACTGAGCACTTAGGATATTAAGGAATCATAATTTTTCTTAAGTAAGCTAGTTTTGGCCCTTCACTTAGTAAGAGCCTTAAAAATAAAATAAAAAGTTAAACCAATATTAGTTTTATTTTTAATACACTAGGAACAACGACTGAACCATTATATATTATAAAACTTTGCTTGATGACCTGGATAAGTTACAAAAGATTAATACATTATCTGAATTCAACAAGATAAAGATTATTTATTTAGGATAGACATATCTTAATTGTATGTAGTGCATTTAATTATTTTATTCAATTGGGGATTAATTTACAATTGTGCGTGCATGATGCAATAAATTTTTTAACAATATAAAGAGAAAATAGATTTGCTTTATCCAAGTCAAGATACAAATTTGAATCATATATCCATTATAAAACCAACAGTCCACCACAAAACAAACAAAATTACAAATAATAAGCATTATATATCAGATTTCTCGTAAACAAAGATGCTGAAATTCACAATTTAAAGAATTTGTGTGGAACTTTCAAAAGAAAGTATAGAAAAGAAACACCTTATTATCGTTTTATTTAACAGCAAGAAATAATAACTTGATATATAAAAAAATTTCAAATAAAATTTAAAATATCAGCAGTCCACATAAGCTCAAATATAAATGGAAGTAAATCTGGATTATTACAGATTAAAATAGCACACATTGACAAAGAAAAAAAAATTGTTTCATCCTCCTTTAAGTTTCTTTGCACTTTAACTTTGTTCGAAAAAAATATATAATGTTTTGAATATATTTGTTTTGAAATTGTCATGCTTTGAAATTTGTGATCAATTAACATTTGAGACAATATTCTTCGAATTAAAATAAACTTTTGAACAAACATTTTCAAATGAATTAAATAAATTTATAATAATACTTGGGAAGAAAAGTTCTGGTTATAGATGAAGTGATCTACATAGTAGCATCACATGACAAAAATGATCCTGATGGTAAACAATGATCCATCGTTTTTTTAAAAAATTGTTTTTTCAGTCTCGATGAATAAGTACAAATAATCCAAGGCATCCTAAAACCGCATACTGCAAAAGAGAAGGAAAAAAATGAGAAACAGTGTCCAACTGATTTCTACGGATAAATCGATTAAGCAAATTTGTTACTTACTTTAAATTTAGGATAATCATTCATAAGTATAGTTACTATACCAACATATGGTACAAATCTGGAATGAAAAAAAACAATAAATTTATTTAAATTAAGTATCTTCAAAGCAGCTAACAGAAAAAATCACTTTTTTAAATAAAAAATATAGTGAAAAAGAGCAAGCAAATTAATAAAAATATAAATTGCACTCAAAATTGACAAAGACAATGAAACTTAATGAATAGAAATTTAAAGGACAAAAAAAAAATATTTTTTTTTGCTTATGTTTTGGTTCTATAGCAAGTATAATTTTGCATAATTCAGAACTGTCCTTATAAACCTAAGTTTTCTGACCAAATTAGTCATTTTAGTTTTTTCCCATAGTTTCTATTATACAAAGCAATCAAAGAAGTATTATAAGTTTAAAGTAGCAATAGAAGAAAATCGGTATTAATTGCTCTCTGGTGGATTTCTGCAAAATAATCATTAATTTCCTAACTGAAATTTCTTTAAATAAAACAAATCTTTTAATACCTATACCCTGACCTGATCTTAATTCATATTCTAAATTTAAGATTTGAGTTTTAAATAGGTTTTGTGTAACTAAAGCAAAAATGTAGATTAGTTCTCAGTTATTAGATTCTGCAGATTGTGAAAACGCAACATCATAGTAAGATAAAAACAAAGTATCAGCGCACACAATCCAAAAATATCTGCAAGCTCATAATATTTTTGATAATAGAGTAATTTTATTAAATATATGAAATCAGTTACTATTTGATATTTTCATTTATATTTGACAATATATATATATATATGCAGATTAATATTAATCGTTAAACATAGAACTACATTCATATAAAGTAATTATCATATTTAGTAATATTAGTAATTTCGCTCCAAACGAAATTACATTAAATAATTTCCTACTGTCACTACAATCGTTTATTTTTGTTGTAAAGCAATAGTTGAATTGAGTTGTAAACAATCAGCTGGTTGTAGGCTCGACCGCTAATGATGGGATTGCTAAGCTTTGGACTAAAGTAGCAGTTATATCTTTTCTCTTTAGGAGCAGCATACATACAACTAATTACTGACTTTCTTCAACCTTGCACTTGATACTTTTTTTTATATCACAATAAATATTAAAAAAGTATCTGCAAAATTGGAGAATCAGCGCTAATGTATCTGCGTACGGTGTGAGCGTGTGTGTCTATATTACATAACTATGTGCAACATCATTCACTGGTCAAAAATTTACTAAACAATTTGAACTGATATGAATATTAAAATTATAAAGCTTCATATTCCTTCCCCTTTTGCTACCATCCCTAAGAAAACAGAAAACTGGATTGCATTAAACAACTTTTGATTTAATGATTGAATTTTAATGGTTTAAGACATATATCACCATATTGAATGAAATAACTAGTTTTATTCTAGTTAAATCAAAATTAAAACAGCATGTTTCATTAATATAGTTCATGCTATACAGAATTATTTATAAATTAAATGGAAAAATTATTTCTTGATGGTTTAAATCACATAAAAGCTATATAATATATATATANTATATATATATATATATATTACAGGCCATTAAAATTGCACCACCAGCAAAGAAATGCAAATAACAGAATGATATTTATTGGGCACATACATTATAGTTGGAAGAACAAGTGATTAAATTTTCAGGATATTTAGAAGTATAGATCCTGAGGAATCAGTACTCAGAGCAGCCTCACACTGCCAGCGATAGCAGCAGTTAATCTCCAGAGCATCGAGTCAAACAGAGAGTGGATAGCATGGACGGGTACAGCATTCCATGGAGCTTCAACATCATGCCACAATTCATCGACGAGTGGTGGCTGGCCAGTCGTTCGGCAACCGTTGACCAGACGTTTTCAATTGGTGAGAGATCAGGAGAACATGCTGGCCAGGGCAACAGACGAGCATGTTCTGTATCAAGGAAGGTCAGGACAGTGCGGGCAACATGCGGTCGTGCATTGTTCAAAGTGCCGGCAATGCGAACAACTAGTGATCGAGACGTGTATCCAATAGCACCCCATACCATTACTTCAGGTGATGGGCCAGTATGATGATGCCGAATGCAAGCTGCCAATGGGCGTTCTCCACAATGTGGCCATCTTGATGCTGTATACAGAATCTGGATTGACATCATGACATTCCCACGCCCAGGTTCGTCGTTGATCACACTATTGGAGGCGCTCCTGCTTGAGATGCAGCGTTAAGGGTAGTCGAAGCCATGGCCATTGTGCTGACAGCCCATGCTACTGCAAATGTCGTCAAACTGTTCATGCAGACACTTGCTGTCTTGCAAGTGACCCCATTTGTTGACTCAGGGTTTGTGAGGTAGCTGTATGAACCCTTAAGGCCATGAGGATAACACGTCTGTCTTCTCGGCTGTTAGTGACGATTAGATCCTGTAACAGCGTTCCTTATGACCGTCATAAACCCATCGATTCTATATTCTGCTAACAGTCAGGAGATATCGACCAACGCGAGCAGCAATACTACAGTACAATAAACAGCAATCCCGGTAGGCCACAATTCGATCTTGATCAAACTCTGTACTGATAGAATGAATGCACTGATAAGCTAATCATTTGCATACCACAACATGCTTTATCTGTCCTGCGAATTTCACATTCACGTTTGTGGTGTGTTTTCAAGCACAAAATGACTTAAATGATCCTTAATTATTTCAGTTATTATTTTTAATTTAAAAAAAAAGGCACAATATAATATCGTCCTATTTCCTTAAGTTGTAGGAGATGAAAATTGCAAAAAATTAAAATTTTATCTTGGTAATTCAATTCTATGAACCTTATTATTAAAAAAAAGTTAATTTATAATGAATTTTTACCCTCTTGCACGTCCAACAATATCTTTCTTTTCCAACCATAGCTGTCCAGGTGCATACAGTCCTCTGTCATCAACGGAGTTATTATCACCTTTAGTTAATATTTTTACAGTGCCATTATTCCTGCAAATAAAATTGAAATGAAACCAATGTAAAATGAAAAGCAAGTTATTTATAACTAACAAAAAATTAATATACTTTCATAATAAATGTCAGCTTTCGAATAATACATCGCTTACTCTTTATCAAAAAAAACAAAGAAAAACAATCTAAAATTGGGTGCAACAAATATTTTTGTCTCCATTTCTCATTCATTTGGGACTATACAAATATTTATTCCTTATGCAAAATATTTTATGGAAAAAATAAATACTAAACTAAAAATAATAAATTTTTTGAATACTTTCAAAATACTTTAAAAAATATACAATACTGAGCTACAACAAGTCTAGTGCTATAGTCAATTAGTTAAATTCTTCCCAAACATGTAATTGGATCAAATTTTTGTCAATCAATGAATCCCTTTTTTGTTATCTGTCCTACGTCAAATTTTGAGTTGCCATTTACCTCTCCTGACATGAAAACTAATTTTTCATACTATTTTTCGTCAAATTATTCATAACGTAAGAAAAAGCTTTTGGTCACTTTTGCAATAGTTATCAAAAACTATTAAGCAGTAGTCTTAATATCAAAGAATATATAAAGGAAAAATTCTAGCTTTTCAAATACAGAAAAAACTGCTCAGTGCAGAGTGCCATACCAGAAAAAGAAACTTAAAAGGAGAACATGCTCAGATTTATCAAATCAATCGGGGAATCAAAGAAACACAATCAAATACCGAATTTACCATATTGCACTACAAAAGTTAACACTGAATCGCAAGTCTAGTGCTATAGTCATTAATTAAATTTTCCCTCATCACATGCACAGTAACAAAAATATTGCAATAAGTACTAAGATTCAGCACATGCACATAAGAAACAACGTTTAGATTTCTCTATAAAATTAATTTTTAATATTTTTCTCAATAAATTGCTAAATAAATAACTACCTTAATAGCATGTAATTTATCCATAGTTAAATATGCATTTGTTTTTTGATACAAAATAAAATTACAGTGGAACTAAATTACAGTTTTGCACTCTCCGCTTCGTACGTTATCCCGCTTCCTACGTCATCATTAGCTTGTCCGTGAAAATTGCCAATATATAACGTCAATGTTGAATAATGCCGGATTTTACAGCACCCTTTTTAAGAAAATCTTGCTTTGTACGTTTTTCTAACAGATCAAAATATTTTTTTCTCTTCAAAGTTTGTAATTTTATTTTGATGAGACTTGTTTATTATTATAATTATTATTTTACATTCTTTCTATTCTATCGGATTGTCCCTTTGTCTATGAGAGATTATTTCTTTCTTGAGTCAATATCAAAAGCATGGTGGGATAGGTACAAATCGAGCATGACAGGAAGTGATTACTCAAATCAGCACCAATTTCCATTTTATATTGTATTAAAAATAGCAGGATTTTATTGACTTGATTCAATTTTATTTAAGCAATTTTTTTTAATCTTCTTTTACAGGAAAAAATTTGTGAAGCAACAAATTTTTTATAAATAAAAAAAATTTCATAGCAAGTTTTTTTTTAAATTTTTTTTTCATCTAAAGCTTTTCTAGGGCTGCCTAAATTTTCTCGGAATCTCATTGGTTTAATCAGTCATATTCTGCACCACTTTGTTGCTGTTGCTTATCTTCATGTGGCCTGACTAAGTCAGACCAGATCTGTAGACCAATTGACCTGGATGAAATCGAAGACCAAAAGAGGAGTAGAGTAGATGTCTTCCCAGAGAAGACCAAGACAGTCCAGGATATGATTGGCGGAAGCCCAGTGTAAATGTCCTTTAGGGCAGGGGGGGTAGGTTTTAGTTCCTTCAGAAAATAATAAACCTTTTAGATGGCCGGTAGCAAGGCGGGAGAGGGTGGTGCAGACTCTCCTTTCAAAGGGAAGAGTCAAAGAAACTCCAGGCTCATTTCCTTTGTACCAATGGTGGGTGGGGGGAATCAGCCAGTCCCTGAGAAGCTGGGATTTCTTCAGGGAGTAAAGTTCAAGATCAGAAGAGGTAGGGTGTGGTTGCTGGTAGTTGTTACATATTATTATTAGAGAATATTACATAAATAAAGAAATAACCAAATTTTATAAAATTAAGATAATCAAAACACGTCAAAAATTTTTGCTGGCACACAATTATAATTTTGGAATACTTTCATCTCAAATGATAAGGCCTATTGAGTCCAAGTAAATTTATTATAACACAGTCAACAAATATACAATTATAAACTGAAATTATTAAATTTTATCACTGAGTTGACAAACACATTAAAAATTGAAATGATTACCACTTTGTTTAATTTTACAGTAAACAAATTCATTCATGAAAGTTTTAGGGCAATTTGGTCTACTGTAGCACTCAGAGAAATTATTAATATTAAATTATTACAATTAAAAAAAAGCAATTCCACGTTTAAAAAATATATAAAATATGTACAATAAATATTTTTAAAAATAACAATAGTAAAAAATGAATACTTTTCATGAACTTTAAGGACTCTATGAACAATTGGTATATCACGTCCTTCAACTTTGAAGACAACTATATCCCCAACACGAACTGGATCATCTCTATGATTGGTCAGAAATAATAGATCCCCTCTGTGAAAAGCAGGCTCCATACTTCCACTACAATAATACAGTGTAAATTAATATATATTTATCGCATACATAAAAAACTGTTATTTATTTCTAAATAAATGGATTAATCACGAATGAAGCTTTTAAACTATAAAATCAAGATAAAATATAATTAAGTTTCAGTCGGAAAATTTGCAAATCACATAAAAGTGAACATTATGACACTAGTTAAATCATGTTATTTATTATCTTTTATTTATTAATTTTTTTTCAATATTAAACTGAATTTGAAAAAAGTTTAAATATGTATTTAAGTCTTTATCACATTACCTTATAGAGAAGCACTTGAATATAAATACAGGTGAAAACTCAGTTATTTAAACCAAATTACAAATGAAACCACTTAGTATTGCATACATTTAAGGTATTCACTACGTGCCATAGTAAGTTTTTCAAAGACAAAAAAATAAAAGAGAAAATTTTTTTTATAATTTTTCAGGTTACTAATAGTAATAAAGAGTACATAACCAAGTTATAAGCATATATAAGTTTAACAACATTATTCAGGTAACAAGCAAATATGTATAATATGCACAAATATGCAAACGTCATTCGCAAAAAATTTGTCAACATCGACTAAAATTTTTTAATATTTAAAAAAAGAAGAAAAAAAAAAGAAAAATTCCTCTACTCAAACATGCAGGTCAATCCGGCAGAGATTGATACAAGAATTTTTTTACCTGCTTTGCATAGCAGTGAGTGCCATAGCAAATTTTTCATTAAAGACAAAAATGTGGAAGAAAAAATTAGTTGTAATTACTAGGGTTACTGTAATAAAGAGTACATAACCAAGTAATAAGCACATAAGAACTTAACAACATTATTAAGATAACAAGCAAATATGTATAACATACCTACACAAAAAAGTAAATGCTGTTCCGAGAAAATTTGTCAATATCACGTAATTTTTTTTTATATAATTAAAGAAAGAAAAAGAAAAAATCAAAATTTCCTTATTCAAACGTGCAGAGATTAATAAGATAATATTTTTCTGCTTAACACAGTGGCACGTTTTCCACAATTATGTCATTAGATTTCACTTTCAGGCATACTGATATTAGGAATGAGTTTTTTCTAAATGTTTTTTTTTTTCAATTTAATAAAAAAAAAGACTTTTTCTAAGAATGTACATTTTTGTCAAATTCCCGACTAAAAAAGAATTGTTTTTACACTTTTTCCTACCTATGGAAACACGATTTGAAAGAAAATTAAAATAATTTAAAATCACGCATTGCAATTCACGTTGTTATGATTTTACAATCACACATCGTGAATCACATTTAAGCAATTTAAGATCGTGGATTGAGTTTCCTATTATTATTATTTTTTAATCAAATACCGAATTTTATATTCACTTGATTTACAAAACCAGTATTATGATTCATATTCAACACATAAACATTTTACAAGGCAACTTGTATTCCACTCGATTTTAAAATCAAACATGAATATTCATATTAATGCTATTTTAAAATCAAAAATTTATATTCATATTTAAAGGATTTTAAAACTAATAATAGAGATTCCTATTCACATCATTTAATAATCACACATTGAGATTCATATAGTACATGTGATTTAAATAAATAATAGCTTGCATTGATATTTTTATTAAAACGTTGATAACATTTCATGGATAAATCCTTCCAGCATAAACTTTGTTTTTGCTTAAATTTCAGGTATTCTTTTATTATTATTATTATATAAAAAGTGCTTTTTGACAGAACATTTTCGGATTTCTATTTTAAGTTTTTTTTGGTTTTTACCAAACTAATCCCTAAGATATAAATCAATATAGAGTTTTATAAAAATTAAAACATTTTTAAAAAAAATATAACTATCTCACAGAAATTAATTGAAATTGCTTGTTTTTTAACCGAAATTTCATGTTTGCAGACAGTTTTGCACTCTCTAAGTCAGACAACAAGGTTATAATAAACGCATAAAATAATGACTCACTTTTATATCAGAAGTTTAAATAATATGAAAGAATTTTTGTAAAACCAAATACAGAGCAATTTTTTTAAAAAAGAAAATTACCTTAAAACAACAACAATTGGACTTTCACTTCCAGTTACAACCATTAAACCTTTCCAAATCATTAAAGCAGAAGATACTATCATGCCAAAATTCAAAAATTGATAAAGCAGCTGAAAACACAAACAAAATTAAAAATTAATATGACCATCACTCTTTACATAAAAAGCTATGAAATCTTAGTATTTTGATAGAAAAATACATCAAATACTATGCAATATTCACCAATAATATGTAAAAATCAAAATTTCAAAAACTAATTTAACAAGAAATTTTTAGTATACCTATCAATTATATATAAGTATATAAATTATTTGTAAAAAGAATATTTTGTTCGAAAACCAGAAAAAATTAAATACTCAATGTAACAGTTTAATAACAGGAACAGTAAGATAAAAAAAAAAAGTATCAGCCCACACAATCCATAAGTATCTGCAAGCTCATAATATTTTTTGAGTACAAAAAGAATTTAATTACATTACAGAAACGACAAAGAATATTTAATGTATTTATTTATTCCCGACAAAAAGAAGAAGAAAAAAAGATCGAAAAATCTCATGGATTTAAGATGAAATCAGCAAAAATAAAGTTAAGCAAAAAGTGATTAATCAAGTTCAAAATTCAACATTGTATTATAAGTATATTGCGTGTTTTAAAAACCATGCAAAATTCCGAAGCAATTACGACAGAAAAAGCAATCGAGAAACATAGATTTACAATAGAATCTAGATAATTGTAATTGAACTCGTCGAAAAGTGATGACTCAAATATGCAATTAAAAATTTTTGACATTTTTTATCTTTAAAAAAAAACATTTTTTTTAATGTGTTCAGAAGCTTTTGTGAGCCGCACATTAACAAATGGCGAGCTGTGAATGGCCCCCAGGTTGCAAGTAGACGCTAAATTTTATTAATCAATACGTCTTTTCATGACATTACTGCACCAAAAAAATGACACAGACTAAAATTAAAATTGTCTGCCAAAGATGATGCACCTTTTACAACAATTTTGAAATAAATGGAGGTAACCTCTAAGAACGACTATTTTACTGTGGAACGGAGAGACACTCCCGGCAGGTTTCATTGTGTTATAACATAGTATTTTTCATAAATTAATATTCTAATTTTATGTAATCTACAAAAATTTAACTATGTCAGAGCATTTTACAAAAAAAAAAAAAAAAAATTTTGATGTTCAGCTCATTTTACATAGAACTCCATTGGCTATTCATTATTTTTGAAAATTTAGGTACATTTGTTGCAGGATTTACTAGGATTTCTCCAAAATTTACATTTTTCCTGATTTTTTTTCTCCTAAAATCAGTCTCAGACAATTTCAGATTTTCCTGACCAAGTCAAATTATTATTTGATAAGATAGATCTATTAAAACAAAATATATAGAGAGTATATATAGAGCTACTAAAAATAAATTTATTTAAAATTCATTCCAAGAGATAATAATAAAAAAATTAGTTGTACTAAATAGTTTACTATACATTTGATTTGTGGGTTAATGCTTTACAGATATACTGAGAGCATGGATTTAAGCAGTTAAAAATATTTTTAATACCCCGCAACCAATTCCTTTGCGACCTTTTTTTTTTTTTACATGCAGAGTAAATTTAAGTAAAACATAATAGTAAATAAAAAGGCCATAAAACAAAATTTTTTAGATTAATAAACACATGTTTTATTAAAAACTGACAGATATGTGATACAAAATTGTCAAATTGCAATGTATATTATATAGTATCAGGGGTGATTGTGAGCCCAAGTCAAAATTGCAGAAAATTTGAGTAAAAAAAAAAAAAAAAAAAACAATTTAAATTGAAAAATTAGAAAAAAATTTAAACAAGTTTTTTTTTTCCTTCCTCTCAATATTTCTTAGTTTACCTAAAATATTTTTAAAATTTTATACATATCTATACCATTTACACATACCTATGATGACCTGGAGAAATAATTAAAATTTACAAATATGTCTTTCTTTCTTGAGTTTATGATTAGGTATAATAACTATTTACTGTTAAAAAATCAGTGGCCTGTCTAGGTTTTCCTGAGAGGTACCTATTTTGTGAAAATTTAGACATAATTTGTGAAAATTAAAAATTATATTAAAAAATCAACACAAAATTATGATAAAAATATGGATTTATCGTTTCTTACAAGACACAAAATAAAATTTTAAGAAAAAGTATTTTGAGAAACTACCGTTTTCCCTAAAGTTATATTTTTAAATAATATTACAAGCATAAAATAAACTGTGTTTTTAAATTCCACCTTTGAATATTTGATTTCCGGAAATTTCCGTGATCTATGATTTTTTTAAGCGTCCGGACCTTCGATCTCCGGAAACTTCCTGATCACTGTTAGCGAAAAATCCGGATTTTTTTCCGGAGCACAATCAGCCCTGTAGTATCTTATAATTTTGTTTTATATCTTGGAAGAAGCAAGCTGTAATGTAGTAAATAATTTTCACACTTGAAACCCAAGATTTTGAGAATAGTTTTGCAACAAGATCACAAATACTATGCAACACCGTGTCAAAATCACAAACTTTAAATGTTTGAGTGGAACAAGATTCATATTCACAATTAGACTAATGTTAAAAGTTTCAAATCTAAAAAAAAATTCCAACTGGTTAATACCTACAAAATGATTCTTCTTTTTTTTTAATTTCTTAGCTGGTTTTACCTAGGCTAAATTTAAATCATTGATGATTTATAAAATTCTTTACATTTGATAGATAAATTTTAAGGAGCTTTTTGATGTTATTAATTCTTAAAGGAGACATAGATCCACTGCATACTAAGCCAATGATCAAAACTATCTCAAATAAATTTGACAATTTATGGCCAAATTCAAATATATACGTGATAAATAAATGTTAATAGTTATACTTAATTAACTATGCTTGAAAAAAATTTATCAAATTTTAAATAAGCATAATATAGGAGTTATAGAACCATGGCTTAAAAATACATAAATATAGGTACAACATGGATTATTTGTTAAGTAAACAATTCACCATTGACAATTTAACGGTCCTTACGAAATATCCTGCAAAGATAAGATGGCAATACAAGTAGGTCAACTTCTATAACTACAAATTCCCAACTAATTCTTATAGTACTGCAGAACACATTCTGGCTGAACGAGTTTAAAAGTTTAAAAGAAATGAAAATCAATACATATTAATTAGAAGCAACAAAAAAAAAAGATAAGAAGTTTAAATAAATATAATATCACAATTTTCAATTTCGTATCCCGAATGCAATAAAAATACAACACTATAAAGAAAATTGACATTTCAAGATTGAAATAACAAACATTAATTTCATATCTAACTTTTGTCTGATGATAAACAACTTTTAAAAGGAAAAATGCGAACAGGCAATTAAAGACACAAATATAGAAAATCAATTAAAAGTAAGAGGCTACATATCATTTTCAGATCTTGATGAAATCCAACATAATAGAATTAATAAATGTAACAAATTATTCAAATTCTTACTTGGCGCTTATTCATGCGCTTAAGATCATCTAAACATTCTAGCATCTTGATTGAATAAAATATCTTTTTACTATAATAAGATTAAGTACACCGTATGCACAGAATATAACTTAATATTCCAGTTGCTAGTTGCTTGCTGTAAACAGAAACAACACGTCAACTTCACCGGCAAAAGTTAAGTTGTAATTCACCTCACTTGTAAACAAGGGAAATCAGAGCAGCAGAGATAAATGATGATTTTGCGTTAATGCGCTCACAACGTGCAGTTGTCGCACGGCCACACTTTCAACCGCAGTCCAGAAAAAATGGAAGGTGGTTGGTGAGTCTTTTGCTGAAAGTACTGAATAATAATATGTTTCATCAATCTGGCTATTGGTAGTGCGCCACCACATTAGTGAGAATGGTTTATTTTCACTGTATCAGTTACTAGTGAATTCGCGAAAGATGTAGGGGGCGTTGTTATTTGAGATGAATTCCTGCTAGCAAAACAACAGGATCATCAGTTGTAAGCCTCCTATACTATCAGGGGCTCTAACCAGTTGCACTGGAGATCTCTTCAGTGTAGCATGGTAATGTTCCTTCTTTATTGGCTTATTAAATTTAAAAAAAGAAAAATGTGTGATATTCTTTCGTATGCAAGGGAAAACAAATGGATTATCTTTTCTTAAGAGAAGGAACATCTAAAACACATCGGAAAATATTTGTTAAAAATCTTGTAATTAGAGTTAAAACCTAGAGAATGAGAAATCGTTCTACTGATATAATTCTAAAATACTGATCTAATCTAATTCGTTCTACTTCTAAATTTAATGATCTAGTACGGAAAGTCTTTTTAAATTTTACATTCCATACTTTTCTGAATTATAGTACTTCAAACATTAAAATCATGGGAAAAGTTTACAGAAGTATATAATATAATATCTTTTAATTTTGCAAAAAGAGCTTAAGATAACGATTTTTATCAAAAAATCTAAAACTCATTAAAAAATATTGTTTATAAATTAAAAAACGTGAAATAAAGAATGCTTACTATTAAAAAAAACGATTCTAAAAATTCCTCATATTTAAATAAAAAACTTTCATATTGTTCCTTTTTTCCAGTCTTAAAGCTCTTAACCAGACGTAAAAAACCGTTCTGTAGAGAAATATCATCAAATTAGGAAGAAAAAAATTATTTACAAGTAAATTTTTTATCATAAAAATCATAACACTTACCTGCTTATCCGGAGGATTCCAAATGAAATATTCTTCATTTGAAAATTTTATTTTAAAATAATGTATACATAATCCCTTCATTACTTTTAGATGACTTATCACACAACAAAATTTTATAATTATAAGATCTCGATATGAATTTGAATGGATGGTGTTTTCTACACTAGGGAACGCTGCAAGCTCGGGACTGCCTAAATTTCCGGGTTACTGTTTCAGTTGTATTTTAAAGCCATTTGGTTTCATTGTGCTTTGAGATCCTTGCAAACAATGTATTTGATTACTTATTACTTATGTTTACAATGCTAACAATACTTGTGTTTACAATACTAAAAGTGTTAACACTAACGTAAGATAGTGCACAGCTTACTACACGAGCAAACAGTAATAAACAAATGGAAAGAGGCCAAATCAAGACTGCCAAAAAAGCGAGTTATTCAAAATCTAGCAGCCATGTCACCTTTTTTAATAATAAATAACAAAATAACTAAAACAAATTTTCACTCCAAACTCCCCAGAATTACATAATAACATTAATATCTTATGAAATACAGCAGATTTGAGCTCAGAAATTATCTAATTTATTTCTTTTATTGAAAACAAAATTATCCGTTTGAAAACATCGCCTGTCAGAATAACATGTAATAAGCAGCTGCAAACTTTTTAACCGGAACTAGAGTAGGTCCCGAGCTCGAGATTGTTCACTTTTCTACTGGAAACGCCATCCATATGTAGCTTAAAAACAGAATAGTTGAAATTATTCATTTAAAATTAAAAAATACTTGCCAAGAAAACGATAAAAAAATTATTGATAATCAACACAAATGATACTATTTCAAGTAATTCGGATGATTCTTTATTGGCGATCGAAATGGGCTGCAGGTGGCGTAGAGCAGAACTCTCTACCTATGGTAACACTTCACATGCTTTCCCCAGTAGCGTGTGGAGAGTCATAGAGGAAGGAAATACGTTAGTCTCTCTCTTGATTTTCATCTAGATTAAAATCTTTTAAGTTAGGAACTGAAAACTACATTAAACATAGTTCTAAAAAAAGCATCACGGAAATTTTAAAAAATATTCTTATTAAATAAAAAGGAAAAATATTAAGAAAAGGGAAAATATCATAGTACTGAAAAGAGGAGAGGGAAGGGAGAAGGGGCAAAAGAATAAAACCGGTCTCTCCCCAGATGGCGTATTCGAGCGTTGCGATCGCCAATTGTTGTTTTCCGAATTATATAGATTCAGAAATAATATAAACTATTCTATAAAGAATATTCCATAACTATTACAGTTCTACACGTTCTGAAATCACATTTATTTATTGGAACAAAGTAAGCAATGTTGACTTCACTTTAATTTGTAATAAATTTAAGCAAAAAATAAAATGTATTTTACCGTAATACCCACATCTGTAACAGTATGCAATCACGAAATCGAAAGTTATAGGCTGCAAGTTTGTTGATAATAGAAAGGAAAAAATTATTGAAAAATTGTTCTTCAACTGTTGGGCGCGTTCTGTTTCAGAAAGATTTACTGTTCGTTTGTTCTGGGTCGTTTTTTTATTTTTTTCCAAGTACTTCTGCTAAAAATAAGGAAACTCGATCATGACATCACGACGGGGAGAGCGAAAAATAACGGTCTTACCTTCGTGATATCAGGACCGGGGAAAGTAACAGGTACAGGTGATAAAAAAAAAAATCTCATGCAGAATGTTAACATAGGAAAAAACAAATACAAGAATGAAAAATCAAGGTTTTAAAGAAAGAAGAGTAATGAAACAGAAAATCAAAGCTAAACAGAAATAAAATAAACACTTACTTACAGAATCTCTATTCAAGTATGTTAATCTATGTTGAAAAAGTTAAGTTTCAACTGTTTATCTGATATAGAAAGTTTGACAAACGTCATAATTTCACATTTATTTCATATTATATACTACACTTTCAAGGCAACATTCTTATTAAAAAAAATAACTAAAATAATATTTTTTAATAAAAAAAATAAGGAATTTAACTAAAATTTCACTCAAAAATTTCTACTTAAACTTCAATTTATGGTATAGACTTCTAAAAAAATAATTATTAATACTAATTACGTAATACTTTTTTTCAAATATTTAAACATTATTTTGATGTTATTTAAACAAATTAATAGCAAAGTAAATGGTGTTTCTTTTAACATAAATTTTAAGCAAAATCAAACTAACTTTAGATTTTTATTATTTTTTAAAAAAAAGTAGCAATAACAAAAGTAAAGATACATTGTGTAAATTATACGCAACAAAATTTTTAAAATACAAAGAAAGAAACTTACATCATTTACGAATATACATTAAGTCAAAAGTGCGGGGAGAAAAAAAAAATTTTTTTTTTATTTACAAATCTTAAACTAACAAATAAACGTCTTTGAAATGAAAAAAGATAATTATATTTATTGCAAAATATATGATAAAGAAGTATTTTATAACGACTAATATGTTTTGAAATGAAAGGTCTTCATATAATGATTTTTATAAGGCTTCTTAAAAAGAGAAAGAACGTTTCTCTGTATGAAGCTTTTAAATTTGTAATTACCTAATATTTAAAAATACAGTCAAGAACATGCAAGTACCTTGGTACGTAAGGCAAAATTTATAATAACGTAGTAGGGAAGTGAAAGCTCATAGTATTATAAGTATTCAATTTTAAATCTATTTAGTAATATTTTTATGTGTATTTTAATTGTCTTACATTAAGGTACAGTGCGCCAAAAAAAAAAAAAAAAAAAACGAACCACCCTGAATAACTTTTGATCTAATAATCGGATCTTCACATTCTAGGACTCATTCTTAATGGTTTGAAGGGGTGACCTCGAATATGCTAATTAATTAGCGCAGACGATATTTTAAGTTACGAAACCAGCGAACACATAACTACTAAGTCAAAAGATTATAAGTAAATTATATAATATTTCAAATTAGTTACCTTTCGAGCATGTGGATTTAGTGCCATTTTTCAAAATTCGTTACTGTTTTGTGAATTTCTACTCAAATAATTTACATGTTCTGCATCTATTGCGGAGTCCCAAAAAATCTTAAATATCCATGACTGTTTCAGAGAAGGAAAAAATATAAATTTTCCTTTAGCGTGTTTTTAGAAGCGATGGTCCACATAGGTGGACTGGGGAAAGGAAGAGGTTATAAATTGCCTTTAAATTTTATGAGCTGATTTACATGGCAGTACAAAAAAAAATTATTGGAAATAAGCAAAGAAAGAAAAATTTGCTCTAAACCCACATTTTGATATAATATTATTTTAATTTTGCAATGCAACTGTGAATCAATTTCACGATGAGATTAAATAAAAACAAGCAGTGCATAAAAAAATGAGACACTTTAATTACACTGTAATTCTGGATTCAATTTTTTTTTTCAATTCTAAGAAAAATATTTAATATAATAGGCAACAATATTTCAATACTACATTTTTTTCCTTAACATTTTCTGGAAACAATTTTAATAAATTTTTTCCAAGGACCAGCACAGAATAAATAACATAGATGCATTTCTTTTAGTTACTTTCATTTGCATATAAATATTTTGAGACAACAAAACCATGTCCCAGTTTTGAACAATTGTGGATATTCTCTAAAGGAAAGTGTGTACACCTCCTGTCTACTGTCTTTAAATAACAACACTGATTTGCATTTACTATTTCAATAGAGGGAGCAATAGTAAGCCACAAAGGAGCAATTCTCAATTTGCTTTAGCAAATCAGCCAGCAGGTACAAATATTTTGACAGTAATACTTGTATAAAGAAAAAGGGGAAAAATTCAATAGAAAATAGAATTAAAAAAATAAATACACAACCATAAAAATCGATCAAGAGCTAAAAACATGCAGCCATGGCTCTTTAAGAAATAAATAATTATGAAACATTGATAATATGAAGAGGAAACTAACTCAGTTCATCTATGATTCATAGAAGACATGTGCATAGGCAGATTTAAACTGTACATGAAAGAGGTGATACAAATATGCAGGAAAGTCAATACTTATCTGTAATAATGTTTTAACTTTTTATCAAGTGGGTATATAAACAGATGCTGATTATGAAAGGCTCTCCCATATCAAGTCCATTCTTGTTTCAAACTGTTCACAGATAACAGAATCACAAAATTTTAAGAGATTGTGGTAAAATAAATAATGCTTTTTACTAATAGGTTACATTGCATTTTTTAAAATAGATATTTCAATATAACAATTCAATACAATAGATGCCTCAAATGAATTAGATATTTTGAAAGAACTAAAATCTAATTCGGTAATTTTTTAAAATAATTAAGTTGGTATATTTGTAAATCAATAAATACACACAAAATTATTTAAAAATACACAATGTAATCCGGAATTCAAAAAACATTGTATAAGAATTGGATATGAGAGGATTTTAATAAAATTAGAAAAATTTATTTTTTACAATAAACTTTTAAAAAATATTATATAGTCATTAGAATAATAAAGATTTTGCATAATCATTAACTATAATAAATATTGAATATTGCAAAATAATCATAATAACAAATCAATCAAATAATAATATTGCATAATTTTTTATGGATAATAGAGTAGAATCTCGAAGTATAGGTTATAAGTATCAAAAAAACAAAAAACATTGAGATTGATATCAAATGACAATTACATAGGTTTTTTTAACGTTGAACATTTATTAAATGCATGAAATAATCTTAGTCAGTTGTAATGTCAGTCATATGTAAGAGTTTAATAAAATTGCATAGATTGTTTGTAATAAACATTTAAATTAATATTGCATAGTCATTAAGTACAATAAACATTAAATATTGCATAATCACTAACTATAATAAATATTAAATTATCACACATTTTTTTCTTCTCTTTTTTTGCATAATAGAACCTGGTTTTAAGCAGACGAAAAAAAAAAAATGACTGACATAAACTGGATATTTTTTTAAAAAATTTGTAGCAGAATTTAGAAACATTGTTAAATGCATGAAACAATGTCAGTCAGCTATCAATGCAATGGCACATGTAAGATTTTAATAAAATTGCATAAGTCTATTTTTTTATAATAAACATTGAATTCATAATATTACATAGTAATTAAGTACAAAAAACATTAAATGCTGCATAATTATTAACTATAATAAATATTAAATTAATGATAATGTACAGGTTTTTATGGATAACAGAACCTGGAAAAATATGCTATAAATAGACAAAAAAAAAAACATTAATATTGACATTAACTGAATAAATTGAATGAATTTTTTTTTTAATTGTAGCAGAATCTAGTTAGATTAATAAATGCATGAAATAATGTTAGTTAGTTACCCCTTGAATTGCAGATGAAAGATTTCAATAAAATTGCAAAGGTTTTTCAAAAGTTGAGCAGAAATAAGAAACATTGTTAAAAGTATGAAACAATGGAATTGCACATGTAAGATTTCAATTAAATGCATAAATTGATTACTTGTAATAAATATTGAATTAATAATATCGCATATTCATTTAGTACAATAAACATTAAATATTACATCATCTTTAACTATAATAAATATTAAATTAATGATATTGTGCAGTTTTTATTTATTTATTTTCTGCAGAACAGATTAGGATCTGGAAGTAGAGGTTATAAGTTAACAAAAGAAAAGCAAAAAAAACATTATGATTGGCATAAAATGAATAAATTGCATAGCTTCTTTTTTTTAATTTGAACATTATTAAATGCATGAAACAATGTCAGTCAGTTACCCAAGAAATTACATACGTAAGATTTTAATAAAATTAGATAAGTTGATTTTTTATAATAAAACATTCAATTTATAATTTTGCAAAGTCATTAAGTACAATAAATATTAAATTTTGCATAATCATTAATTAAAATAAATATTAAATCTTGCATATTTTTTGAATGGATAACAGAATAGAATCTGGTAATATATAAGTTATAAAAAGTCTAAAAACACATTAAGATGGACATTTAATGAATAAATTGCATAGTTTTTTTTTTCAATTGGAAGTAGAATCTAGCAGTATTGTTAACAAGTATTCAAAATAATTTTACACAGCACAAACTATAAAAGAAAACACTTACAAAGACAGTTAAAAGCTAAACAGAAATATCTCTCATACACTAAAATTCATCTCTTAGTATAAATTAAAAACATATGAATCTTATATACATCCTCATACAAAGAGAAAAAACAAACATGTTAGATTGTTTTTTTCTTTCTATTAAATAAATGATTTGTATGAAAAGAAAAGACTTAGGTTTATCAATTCACAATTTTCAAACTTAAAAGATTGTACAGTTATGATAGGAGAGAGCCAAGATGTTCTTGATCTTTCACAATAATAAATACATATCTACTTCTAAAAAAGCATAAACCTTTTCACAGATAATTAGTGACAGACCTTAATTCAAAACTAATGACTAGACACAACAATAAAGAGGGGAGAGGATTTCACTATACAATTATTCTTCAGACACTATGTAGCAGGACCATCACATACAAATTTGGCAGGATTGTAATCTTCATTAACAAAGGAGAATCCTCGGAATTCTTCTTGATTGATATTCTTTATGACCTCTGTGGAAACAGGAGTCAATACTGGTTCTTCTTTTGTGAAATCTTGATCAAAATTATTGACATCTCTTTTTGTTTTCTGGAAATTGAAAAACAGCATTAAGATTTTATATTCAGAAAAAGTGAGACACGCGGAAGCATGCACGGGGGTTTTACGTTGGAAAAAAATGGGGGTCAGTACTGAATTTTCATAGTATGTGTACCAAATACGAAGTTGAAACATAAGTATAAAAAATGAGTGAGAATATAGCTTTCCCGCAGTAACTTAAAACAACCATAAATTACAATAAACATCACTAAAAACTAAAAACAGTTTACTAAAAATGATTATCTAGTTAAGTAGAAACTCTAAGAGAGAGAAAATAAACTACTTGACAATTAAAATAACAGAGTCACTATAAATACAATCAGTCACTATAAATACTATTTAGAAGAAATTTGGGTCCGTTATCGGACCCTTCACAAAATATTTTAACTTAAAAACGGACTCTTCACAAAATAATCTATCATTGAATCGGACCCTTCACAAATTTGTTTATCTTCATTATTGTTTTGTTAATCAAATAAACCCTACCCAGGGGGTTGGGGGGAAAGAAAGGCAGATGTAAACGAACTAAGTTTTGTCTTCGGCGGACGCTTCTTCCAATATTCATCCGAAATGAATATTCTGCGTTCAGCATAAGCTGGCTAAATATTTGTATGCTGCATCTCTAATTTAGTAGCAGCAATTGCTGTTTATTTTAAAATTTAATTTTAATTTTTTTTTAATTTAATTTTTTTAATTATAATTTTACAGTGTTGAGCATAATTTTGTATGTCTTTACAGTTTAAAAACTCCTTGAAAAAGTTTTTTTGCAATAACGGACCCTATTATCACAAATTCACAAAAGCGGACCCTGGCTGAAAGAATGTGACTTAACGTTCATTTTAAATTCCCAAATTACGAGTAATTTTTTCACAATTTTACAAAAACGGACCTTTCACAAAATGTCTGGACAGACCCCTGACAATATAATTGCTAACATAAATGACAATGAATATTAATATAGTAAACATATTTAAATAATACCAAAGAAAAAGTGTTTTTGTCACAATTGAATTCCCATGTGGGTGTAAAGTGCCTTGTGGTGTATGCTGGATAATGCTAAATATACCAGAACGCTGCCTATCTTCATACTATTCTTTTTTGCAGTTAGAAATTGCATTTATTATGATAAAAACTGTTCTATTTCAGCAGCTTTAAAGTGTTGTAAAGTAGGATTATAGATGAGGGTTTAGTGGTCAAATGCCTGACATTTGTATAAATAAAATAAATTTCAATATTTCATTCTTTAGGTTTGATTTTTACGTGTCAATTAAAATTGATTCGTTAACAGCACTTCCTTTTTAATTTTAAAGTAATTCAAAGTACCAATGGAGCATTCATAGAATCAATCAGTAACTTACAATTTTCGGCCTAAAGGGTGGTTTGACTTTTCTGTTTTCAAGCGCATCCCAGTCCACCTCTTTAAAGAAAGAATGGTGTAGAATGGCTTCTTCACAACCTTGGGATGTAACACAGCCTAGTCGCTTGGCTGGGTTCTTAGTCATAAACTACAACGAAGAAGAAGATAATTACTTTTCATAATAAGGTCAAAATATAAAATCACAAGTTATTAAGCACTTATTCAGCTTACGCCTTTTAAGATTGAAACTGCTTCTTTGCTGAGCCAAACAGGGTAAAGAACATCATCATGAAGAATACTTTCAAACAAATCGTCTTCGTTATCTGCTTCAAATGGTGGTTGTCCAGCCATCATTTCATACATCAGGACTCCCAAAGCCCACCAATCAACAGATGGACCATATTCCAATTCTTGTAGAATCTAATAAAAAATAATAACAGTTATTGAACAATAAAATTCCCTTACATTAGCTTATTAGAACACAACTTTATATTATTCTCCAGTCCTTATCATAGATTTTTGCATTAGGGGGAGGAGGTCTCTATACTAAATTTTCATAGTAAAATGCATGGAATTCAAAAATTCTGCACATAGGGGAGTGTCGGGTACCCCCATCCACTGTCAATTTCATATGTATAGAATATTTTTTCAAGTCAATGGGCCATCGGACATTAATTGTTATATTAAAAAAAGATTATTTTCAAAGTTTCAAGTATTTATGCAGCTGGTAACATGGTAAACAATAGTTTTGAAAATATGTTGAATACAGTAGTCAAATTTTTTAAATTTCTATTTTTTTAAGTTAAACTATTATTTTTTGGTTTATTCTTTTTGCATTATATAATTAGATGATAAAACAATAGAAACATACAAAAATATTGATTATTACTCAATATTATACAGAAATATAAGCAATACTCCTTAAGTGGGCGGGGCTACCCGACTCTCCCCTATATAATATATATCTAACATAGAAAGCTTCAACAAGTCTTTTTATGTAACTTCCATCTATACTTTCCTTCTTAATTTATTATTAAAAATTAAATGCGTTCTCACATTTTATTATTTATATCTGCCTTTTTATTATATTTTTAGATTTAAATATGCAAGAATTAGCATTTTAAGTTCTTACCTTAACCAAAGTGTTTGAACCATATTATTCCTTCGACCTATTTAACGGATCAATTGTAATTACTAACGTTACCCTTTTCAAATGTGACTTAAAAGTTCTGTGACTTAACAGTTCATCGGGATTTGTTAGCAAGATTTTCCCTTGTTTTGAGATTGGACCACTTCAAGAAGAGTGAATTCCCTCCCCCCCCCATACAAGAAGGAAAAAAAAGAAACTCCAAAGAGAAAAAAAGTTCTGAACACCCATTCCCATGCACGCTGCCGAAAGAAGGATGCCCCCATTCGCAAAACTTTTGATTTGATGCTGCACTACCTGTTACCAAAAGATAAACGACTTTCGATTTCATTCTAATATAATTCTAAACAACATTATCTGAATAATATACAAAAGAGAACCATTTGTTCCAGATTCCCAAAAAAAGGGCTTCCACTTCTTAATGCTTTATGGAAACTAATGAAAAATGTAAAGTTATTTTGTTTTTGATTTAAGGTTTTTAATGTGGCAAAGTTGGCTTTTGCAATTTTGAAAAATAGCGGTAGTTCATATTTACTAAAGTGATTCTTATACAAACGCGTGGTACAGCAATTAATTAAAAATGATTCAGATGTGGGTGCTTTTCAAAATCAATTAGTGGTGATAAATATAATTATTTTCATCAGCGAAATCTTGTGAGCAGAGGAAGTATTAATTAAATTTGATATCCAATTACTTCAATAAATAGAAGTGGTGATTGATATTTCATAATTAAGATAAGATTATTTATAAGATTTTGTGGGGATGAAAGTGTTATTAAATTTGATTTCTAGTTGTTTGAAATATTTTGAAAAAATTTTTACCAGTAATTTATATGTATCTGAAAAAAAGTACTATTGATTTTTTAATGGTATTTACATTAATGATCAATTATTTTTAAAATATTTCATTATTATGAAAGTAGTTGGTGTTTAAATAAGAATAAATTTTTTTATTGACTTTGGTTTAAATTTATAAATTTTTCTTCTCATCCTTGATATTTCAATTGATAATATTTTTCAAATACATTGAGCTTATTCATATGGTTTAATGAATTTGTTTATTTCTAAAATTTGAAAATATTTTTAAAATTTATCACAATTATTGATTTTTTTAAATTCTTTTCAGTAAATTTTTCTTTTGATTCAGTAAAATGATTATTATAGTTATTAAAAAAATATTAAAATTATTATATCTAGTGTTTTATATGTTATAGTTTATAGGATTTATTGATTGTAAGGGTAAAATTTGAGCAATTAAAAATGTGAATTTTTTTCCTTCTAAATGCAATATTTAATTATTGAAATTTATTTTTAATGCTTGAATGCTCTTAAGGAACGGTAAACATTATAAATTTAACATGGATAAGGATTAATCTCCTGTTCAGAAATTTTCCTCTAATACGGAATCATCAAATAATGTAATAATTGATACAAATAATAATTTGCAAAATAAATTAAATACAGTACAGAACCCGTTATCCGGAAATCAGAAAACCGGAAAACCAAAAAACCGGAACGAAATTCCATTAGTTTTCCCGTCATTTTTTTAAAAAAAAAATTTTCGTCATAAGATTTTAGGATTTTTCGTTCTTTTTTTAAAGATGTTTAATTACCATCATTTTGGAAATAATCATTAGTGTATTACTTCATCGTTTTTTCTTCTTTTTAAGATTATTTCCATTTTTTTTTTTTAGTTGGGTTTAACTATAAAAAACGGCTTTTTGCAGCGATTCAGAAAACCGGAAAAATCAGTTATCCGGAATATCGATGGTCCCGATCGTTCCGGATAATCGGTTCCCTACTGTACTAGTTTTCAAAATTTAAATCAAGATAAAGCGAAAGAAAAACTGGACATATCAATGTTTGAGCCCGACATTGACATTCAGTTCACAGACTGGCTCACATTTACAAAAACAAACTAGAGATTTTAAATTAAATAACGAGTGGAAATTAAAAAATTTTCAAACATTTAAGAAGGGTTCAACTTTGAAATTATTGATAAATAAATATTTAAATTATTATACTTTTCAAGAAATAGTCAAAATTTTTCAAGAACATTCTTTTTCACCTCTATTTGACCTTAATGATTTTCTAAGATTGCCAAGTTAAACCTTAACTCAAATTTTGCCAAAAAAGTAGAGTTACATCGAAAAATTTAATTAAATAATGAAAATATGAATAAATTTATTTAAATAATAGGGTTTGTCTGTGGGATTACGACCACAGTTTAAGACTCTTTGGGGTTTTAAAAGAACCCAAAACCCCAATTGACTGGCTTACACATGTTTTAAAAATTATTTATGATGTCCCCATTGTCTTACCTCAAAAAGAAAATAAAACAAAAAGTGCCAGAATCAAAATTTAGTGGATATAGACAACAAGGTAAACAATTTCAAGGCTGGACACCAAGACGGTAATTTTTTTACACAATTCTGTTAATCAAAGTTTTAATAACTATCTGCGACAAAATTAAAAATTTTCTAAGCCAAGTCAGAATTTCAATCAACAATTCCAAATGAGACCTAGATTTTAGAAAGAAAGTGACAGATTTAATAAAAATAAACAACAAAGAAGTCATTTATTCCAAGCTTCTCAAGCTGAAAATATAGTCTTGAGCAAATAATCTAAAAAAATTTTAAAGTAACTAATGTTAATATATGAATTCCAACATTTTCCATTTTAGCAAAGTTTTCTGAATATTTAAAGGGAAACAAATTTTACACTTAACTATTTCATATAATGATGTTGACCTACAATGATTTAGCCCCACGATGTGTTAACAATTTAAACAAATATATAAGACCTAATAATAGTGCAGTTAATTTCTAAGTGAATACAAAATTAAATTCTACAAATTTTGGTACATCTTGATTGTTTTGTTATTACATTAGCACTTTAAACATTAAAGGGATCGACAACTTTTGCCTTGGTAAATATGTAAAAATTGTATCATGGTTCCTACAGTTCTTAAAAACTTTAATAGTGGTAACAAAAATAATATAAAATTTAATTATTTAATAAACTTGTGACTACCACAAGCTATTTGGTAAAATATATATATATATANNNNCTTCTTGGTGCGTCGAATTTTTTGTTATAGAGTGTGTATGTGTGTATATATATATATATGTGTGTGTGTGTTTTAGAACTGTGCCCTACCAGACCTCAAAGGTTAATGTGGTATCTTAGAAAAGGAAATTTCTGTCAGCATTAATATAAATTTACTACAACTAAAAGACAGTGTTAATAATCTCCACTGTAACCCTACACACAAGTGTTCACACAAGCAGTGTTAAGTCATAAGTTAGTTTAATAATTATTAATTAATTATAAAAGGATAATCAAATATGACTGTTAAAATATGTAACGAGCATATTCATTTATGATATAGAGTCCCTTATTTTAAAAAAACAATCAATAGTCTATAACTGCAATAAAAAAAAAAAAGTAACCTTCCCATCAGAAGAACCTTATTTTTAAATCTGCTTCTTTACAATTGAGTGTTTTGATTAACAGAGTTATGCCATTCTGCCTGAATTTACTGAGAATTTTTGAGTAATAAATAAAAGAAATATTCCATTTGTCAACTTTATCTTTATGTTCACACAACACTAGCCCCTTCTTGATTTTTAATACATTATGTAAAACTAAAAAATAGATTAATCAAACACAGAAATATACAAATCAAGTAAAACTTAACAAGTAACTTAAGTAAAACTTAATCAAGTAAAACTTTAAACAGAGCTAATAATAATAAAAAAAGTGGGGGGGGAAACAAGAAGTAGTTTTGTGCTATGCCACATATTTGAGAGAAACAACTATTGTAATCAAATCATTCAAATAATATTAAAAACTTAATATCAAATTCTGCTATTCAAATAATAATAAAGGTAATGTGTTATTACTCTTATACCCCTTTATTAAAAATTCCTTTAATAGTTTGGGGCAATTCGGCTTAAAACTTTACAAGTTGGGCAGGGATATCTGAAAAACAATTTTTATTATATACCTCTGGAGCTATATAATCAGGTGTTCCACAAAATGTAGTGGTTGTGCAGCCATTTAGTATACCTTCTTTACACATGCCAAAATCAGCTATTTTACAATGACCTTCACTATCTAAGAGAATGTTATCCAATTTCAAATCCCTAAAAAAATTATTTAAAATTAAAAGTAATACATCCGTAATGAATTTTAGATAAAGAAAACTTTAAAAAGGCACTAATTAGATTACTTTAATTAAACTGTAATAATACATATTTCAGAGATCGAAATTTAAAGGAAAATGGGACACAGCAATATTTATTAATATATTTTTTATATTTATTAATACTTATTAATATATTTAAAATAAAACAACTCATTTTTTAAAATAATCTTGATTATCGTTCAATTATTTAAGCAACTTTATAAATATTTTAAAAGCACAAATCGTAATTGCTTTTACTGTATTAAAAAAATATAATTAGCTCTAATTAGGTGTAATAAAAGCACATTTTATAACTAAAGTAAAATAAAATATATTATTTTTAATATCAGAATTACTTTGTTCAGTTTAGAACAGAAAGTTTTAACAGTTTCCAGTAAAATTTTACAAAACTGAATACTAGTTTCAAATCAATGCATGGAAAATCTTTTAAAGTTCTACAGCATTAAAAAAAACTAACCAGTAACAATTAGAAAATATTCAGTCATACCAATGTGAAATTAAAAGTTGCAACTGGGTGCAAGATTTCTTTAATCAAATAGCGTTACAGTTAGGGTTTCAACAAATTCGAAATTTAAAAAAAAATACAGTGAATAATGACACTTTACACTTTTGTACAAAAGTAATTTTAATGGATGATTTTTCAATTCATAATTTAAAAATTCTATGATAACACTGTATTATTGATTGAAACCAATAACTTTTAAAATCACATGAAAGAGATAAATCAATAAGTATGTAACTAAAAAAATCTATATTTCAAGATTTGTTGTTGCATTTGCTTAAAATAATAAATATGTGTATACCCCTAAATTCATCACTATAAAAATTCGATAATATAAAATTATTGAGTCTCTGTTTCATAAAATGACTGAATTTCTGGAAAGGTTTAAGCAATGAATCCTGTGGGTGAGACACTATGCCTGAACCTTGTATATAACAAGTGGATGGTCTTTTAATTGAACTTTCCAATTTTATGATTTCTACTAGTATTATTTATTAAAGTAAGAAGATAATATCAGAGATTAGAGACAATATCAATAACAAATACCTTCAAATCTATTTCTTTTTAAAATTTCATTTGTATTCGTAGAAAATGAGATGTTTTGACTATGTATTAAAATTATGAATATGAGAACAAAAAGCTATAAATCAGGACAAATAAGGATAAAATCTTTTTTATCGGGAAAGTCAGAAATGTCAAGACAATTACGAATCCTGCTTTCCTGCTTTTTTTACTACACTTTAAGTTGATGCAATGAAGTTACCAGTTTTTATGTAAAAAGGAAACAGTTAAGTGGTATATAGCAGGAAAATTTCTTGACAACTTTTCTTAGAGGCTCAATGCTTAGAGCATTGAAAAGAAAATACATATATATATATATATACAACTTATCAAAATTAGACAGCACATTTTACTGGGTGGTTGGAACTATAAAAATTTTCTGGTATATGAAGCATTGAACAGAAAAATTTTACATTTAAAAGTGTGAGCATTTTCTGATAGTGAACTTTTACACATAAATTTTTTTAATGATATTCAACTTAGTCAATCACTTGCAAATAAATATATAAAAAAAATTAAATAAGAAAGAAAAAAGAATAATAAAAATTGAAACACAACCTTTATTTATTTATTTAATTTTTTTTTTGTTGCTAAATAAATTTTCATTTTATATGTAAAAAAAATGAAAATACTTCTAAAAAGATGGAGAAATAAATATGTGTTTTAAATAAGCATGTCTATTTTGAATGAATCAGAAAAATAAGTTAACAAGTACTTACTGTTCTTTTAACTATAGAACTTAATAGAATATATATGAAAATTCTAGCAATTTGAATAATTTAATTATTAGCTAACAGATTATACTACTCTTTTTGTTGAGCATTTACAAAACTTTGAATACTTAACATTTAAAATAATATAAAAACCTTCACATAGTTAACTCCTAAAATGGGTAAGGAACATGATAGGAGAGTTGTCATTGAATTATATTTTACTTTCATACTCCCCATGAATACAAAATATGATTTATGAAATGTAATAATAAATTTTCATGCACAATCCTCGATATATGAATTGCAAATATTTTTGTAATTTCAGGTCTATAAGTTCGTGTTAAAGAATTCAAGAGTAAAAATTTTTTTTCTAAAGATGAAATAACTTAAAGAAAAACCTAGATAACAATGAAGGAAATGTTCATTCACATGATAATGTTCCTTTTAACGGTTTGAAAATGTACCATTGAATTGTTAAATGTTATTGATTGCTTTTAGAACACCTTAGATTAAGTTACCTGTAAATAACTCCATTACGATGAAGAAACATCAGAGCTAATGTTACTTCTGAGGCATAAAACCTAGCTCTAGGTTCATCAAATTTCCTAGCTTTTTGAATTTGGAACATCAAATCCCCACCATTGACATATTCCATAACAAAAAACAAACGATCCTAAAAAAAAGTTATTAATATAGTTGAAAGCTATATCTATATAAGCCCATTAATTTATGTTACATTTATATTTATAAATATTCAGAAAATTAAATATATATCATATTTTCTGGTGAAAGCGCCACACCATCACAAGCGTCGCATCTCGATTTTTAAAAAGTCATCATAAGCGCTACAGCTGCACAGCACTGCGAATATCAGCATCTTTAGAGGAGAGACATTTAAATTATCATTCAGAATATCTGCATAATAAAAACATTTTTTATACATTTCATAAAGTTAAGTTTTAAATTAAAAAAAATAATAAAATCTGTTAACAAGTCCACCCACTTACGGCCAACACATAGACTGTTCAGGCAAGGCTTAACTAGATCATCATTGGTACAGGTTAATTTGGAATAAGCGTGCATAATAAATAATCCCTTTATATGGTCAAAAAATAATATTAAGTACAACAAAATATTTTTTAAATACATCAACAAACGTAATTTTAATTCCTAAATTATTTGGGAGGAGGGGAGATAAAAGCCTAAAATGCGTTAACAAAAAGTTCACGCGAAAAGAGAATTTTTCTTTTTCATCTAAAAAAAAAAATTGTTCTTACCAGTTGGCACCGAGACAAAAAATAAAGCTGTCATATTTTACTTCAGGAGAGCAAATAATTAACAACAACAAAAAAAAAAACTAATATGCTCAGCAGTGCCTATAAAGACCTTGTGCTGGGAGAGAAAGGTTGAAGAATTCAACCATATTTAGAGGAGGAATTAATGCTGCGACTGATGATAAAAATCTGTAAAACAATGTTAATGAAAAAAATAAAATGAAAATTTTAAGATAAAGATTTATTTAAAAAAAAAAGATTTAAAAAATCATCACAGTTTAAAATTGAGGAAAAAATATAAACAATGTAAAAAATTAACTTTCAATATCCTATAAAGTTACTTTTATCACTGTCAGAGACAAATAATTTCAAGATTTCATAATTTGCCATATTAACACCAATAGAAGAATCCTCAGTAGAGTCGGTGGTGTCGGAGTTATTCCAGCTGCGCTCGATGAGGCCGGCTTTTGCAAACACCCGAGTGACAGTCTTGACGGGTACAGCAGCCCAGGAGCCTACTACCCACTTGATGATAATTATGTAGCTTGCTCTCTTCTTCTTTCCACTAGCAGTTTACGTATGAGGATCCCCTTCCTTCCTCACACAACCATTTTTTCCATCTTTTCCTAATTTCATTTTTAAATGCCCTATTGATTGTTATATCAAAGGGTTGCAACTGGGTGGACATTTTGTCACATTTTTTTCTAAATTGCTTCTACTCTATGAGCAGAAAGGTCCTTGATTAGGAGACTTGGGTGAAAAAAAGAAGCTCTTTTGGCGTCAATGTACAACATCTAGCCACTCCAACATCATACTCTCATTTATCCACCCCTTTTCATTTGCATATACACCGATTTCCTTAGGGAAATTGCACTTTGGAATAGTTTTTCTTTTGAAGATAATGAGTGGTTTTAATTTCTCTGGCAGAACAGGCCAACACACAGGTGAAGCTAGATTTTTCATGGTCTGTAGTTTCAATGGAAACCGTTAGCTCACCTGTCTTGTTCACAGTGGCCTTTTCTCTCTCCATCGGTGGATGCAGCTGTCGTTTATTTCATATTCTTGCCCCGCTTAACTACAGACAGCTTTAAGCAGGCAGTATAGCTCTTATTCCTTCTTGAAGCAATTAAGTTGATGAAGGTAAATGATAATCAACGGTAAATGATAACAGGGATAGTAATAGAAAAAATAATAATGAAGCAACTAATAATAACGAAATAACTAATAATAACAGGAATAAGAAGTAACTAAGTGTGCACTAAAAAAGTTCTCAAGAAGAAATGAGAGAAGCGGAAACAAGTTTCACTTTCACAATCTTCGGGTGTAGAATTTTAGTAGGTAGAATGCCCTCTCGTCCAATGGAAATAACGCAATATGACTCAGTTTAGAAAGAGAGGAGACGAAACTGTTTAAAAGGGGGATGTATACCCCTACCTCCATGGCTTGTCAGTTCTACTGGATTGTTTAGGAGGAATCAATCAGTTATTTTCAAAGGGGTTGGGTTGCGATTAAATGCGCATGTGCAGATGCCTATATTGATTCCAACAGCTTTATATAAACACTTTAGGGGTTCACATGTCATGAAAATTGTGAAAGCCACTAAAAAGTCCCAAATTTGAAAAAGGGTCACTAAAATCTAAATTTTAAATTATTTATTTACAGGATTTTTTTTTTCTTTTCAAGCGCTTCAAGATATGCAAATTTCTTTGTGTGTCATAAAATACCATATTACTAACATCTAAATTTAAAAAATCCCATGAAAGTGATAAAAAATATTATAAATAATAGAGGAAAAATTATCGGAAAATGACAGGGATTTATGATGGAATCATTATGAATTGAATTATTAAAAATGATACCTAGATATTCTAAATATGTGTGTTGTAATAACATCATATTAAAAACATCAACAGTTGAAAAACTGAGAAAATAAATGGCGGTAAAAGCGCTAACAACTGCAAAAATAAATAAATAAAAGCTATCGGAAAATTATGGAATCACTACCAACCAAGCACGTCAAAACCATTCCGAATTCCAAACATGTTTCAATTCAGAAATTGTGAGGGCCACATTCCTAGATCAACAGTGTCAAGAGTGTGTTGAGAATATCTAATTATAGGCGTTATCTCCCACCATTCACAAACATAGTGTCCGGCCACCTACCTGTACTTAATAACAGAGTCTGACGATGTATGCGTAGAATTGCTAGTGTTAACAGACAAGTAACATTGTGTGAAATAACCGCAAGCATCAATACCGCACGTGAAATGGACATATCCGTTAGGATAATGCATGGGTCGCCAAACTTTTTTGATCATAGACCCCTATATAATTTTTCGAAATCTCCATCGACCCCCATAAAACTAATTTTTTGTTAATTAAAATAAAACTCTATTAGATACTGTGTTTGTACATTTATTTTATCATTTTAAGCATTTTTTAGAGTAATAGTACATTGTGTAACAATAGTTTTATGAAAAATATATTAATGTTGAAATTTAAATACCTTATTATTTATTTAAATTAAGTAACTATAAATAAGTAGAAATAATAAGTAAAGTAACTACAGATTTATTGCTTCTTAATCAATGAGATGGGTGTGCCCTGTGTTTTATTGCAAGGTTCGCTATATTGGGCTCAAAATTGGTCAATTTTAATCTTAAATCCCCTCGAAATTCCACATTTAATTTATAACTGTACGTAGTTAAGATTGAATTTACCGATTTACCCCTCCGATTCGGATCGACCCCCATTCGACCCCCTGGCTCAGATCGACCCCCGCTTTTGTTAAATAGACCCCTGGGGGTCTATATAGACCACTTTGGCGACCTCTGGGATAATGTAACAAAATTTGCCTGTAATGGGATATAGCAGCAGAAGAGAGACTTAAGTGCCTTTACTAATAACATAACATCATGTCCTTCACCTCTCCTGGGTTTGCATATTGGTTGGATCCTAGGCAATTGGATGAAGTCACGATTTTAGCTGCTCAGAGCTGTCTGGAGAGTGACCACACTAAGCTATGGACCCAAGTTGACAACAAGGCGTTGTGCTATCTGCTGGTGGCTCCATAATGATGAGGGTTGCTTTTTCGTGGGATGGACTGTGTACTATGGTCCGATTACATCGATCTTGGACAGGTAATGGTTATGTTTAGCTACTTGAAAACCACTTGCAGCTATTCATGGACCAAGGGCGGCGCCAGTAGGGGGTCAGGGGGGGCTGGAGCTCCCCCGTCGGGCATGGCCAGCCCCCCCATCGGGAAAAATTTAAAGTCTCGTCGGGAAAATAGTCTGGTCACATTTTTTTTTCTAAAAAATGTCAAAAATTCATTTACAAATGCCTAATAAAAATTTTTGTAGTTGACTTTTTATTTATTTATTTTTAAGAATTAGTAACAAAATTTAGTAAAATATATTGTAAATTCTATGTAATTGTAGTTTCACTGCACTACTCCTAACTTTGCTCATACATTGTTAAACTAGAGTCCGGATGCGATTAGACATGGTTGAAATTGAAGACTTTTCGAAGACCCATAGAAATCCTTTNCCAGCAAGCCTGTTACGGACGATTCAAGCGATTTTAAGGCAGAGGATACGTTTTTTTGTTTTTCAGTGGCATAATATATGGACAGGAATACAACTTCAGCCACACACACATCACAGCCCGTTTTATAGGGATTACCCATTCATTCATACACAGATTGTAATTTTGTCCTGAACCAGAGAACGATCAATCTCCAATTTAGTACCCCCTGAGGTATTGATTTGTTGTGGGAACTGGGAAAATTCTGTGACCCCGCCGGATTTAACGTGCCCCAGTCACCATTTAAAACACGACCAGCGGGATTTGAACTCATAGTATCACGAACATAAGCCAAGCCTCCTACTAACCTAAATTTCTGATGCTATTTTACAATCAAGCACAGTATTCAGCTGCTAGCTATGGTTGTACACCCCAATCCCTAAACTATCCTAAACTAAGGTCCTATCCAGAATTCTGATTCGGCTAAAATCTAGTTTCCTATCTAAACAATTAAAAATCCAGGCAGTTAAAACTTTATTTGCTTATACATTTTAAAATGATTGTTGTTTCTATGGCAGAATCTATTTAAACTGTTTTGCTTTTTAAATTTATAATATGCTATGATATGTTTAATTATGTTCTAACAGAATTTATCTTTTAATGTACATTTGCAATTATTGATTATATCGAATTATATAATATTGAATAAGTTTATAACTATATTTTAAAGGTCCTTCAGAGAGAACGTGCCATACAAGCAACATTTCAAGAACAAACACTTTTAGTTAATCATCACCATCAAAATGGAAACTTTGAAGTCAAGTTAAGAGATAAACCTAGGTCCCAGGTAGGTTTAAAAAATATATATGTATATTTTCCTCGTTTTCTTGCTTGAAGAATCAATCAAATTCCTTTAAGCACTGGCAAATCTTGGAAGCAATTACTTAGCCTTTTGAAAATGTAATTTTCCATTAATTTTTGAGTAATGCTGCCAGTATCTTTATGTATAATTGTGCATTAATATCTCAAAATATGCTATAAAATTGGCATCTCTATTTCCATTTGAGTATTTTTCTTTCTGATTGAGTCACATGTTTGCCTCTTATATACAATAACTTATACTCATTTTATATTTCTGTTTTCGAAATAAAATTGAATATTGATGTAAAAATGAAGTATTGTTTCATAAAATTGTAACTTTTTTATTACCTAAAAATTTATTACCTATGTTTACACAGACTCTATAAAATTAATACAATATTTCTTTTTATTTTATTGATTTTTTTAGCCCTCAACAAAGAATAATTATGTTAATTTACATGATCTTTTTAATATGAAGTTATATCTTTATTTTACTTCATACTGTATAAGTTAAGAAATATTACTAATACTATTTATATTCATCTTTTTAGATGCATCACATTTATATGCACACAAAAATATGTATAATATAGGTCTACTTTCAAGATGTCAAGTTCTATATTCTGATATGTCTTATACAACTTCTAAATAATTTTTTAAGTTTTTATTTGTACCCTACTACCAATAAGAGGAAAAAAAAGAAAACTTTGTATGCTTGCTAATGCTGATAATTTAAAAAAAAGTTTTTTTTTTTAAGGTACAATAGTAAAATTGTTTTTATCCTTAATTTTGGCAATTTGTGCCTAGTTACGCAAACCTGTAACCAAAAAAGTGTTCAGAAAGGTATAACTTTTTGGTGGATATTATTTAAGGGAAAAACTTAATGTTTTTATCTTGACTATGAAGTATCGTTTCTAATGTGTTTTATTGCGTTGAAATGATCGAAGTCCAAAGGAGACTATCTAAATGTTTTGAAGTTATTAATGTTTTATGTACTAGAAAACAGAGTTGTACTCATCTGACATTGCCACCTAAACAAATGAGGAATTGTTTCTTATGTACTTTTTTATGTTAAGTCAAATAAAATCAAAATTAAGAGCAAGTTTTTTTAAACGTAAGGGGAAACTTGACATTTTTTTATTTTTTTGAGTACACTAACCATTTTGTGTTCCACTACTTCCACTCTAATTATTAGGACTTTATTATTAGAACTTTCAGTTGACTTAGCATGGAAGAGATTAAAAGCCATTCAAAAATATTCGAAATAAGACTATTTTTTTTCTTTCAATTTCTGGTTATTGTGTTGATCGAGTAATAGTTTAAAGCAGAGATTCTTAAATTGTGGGTCATGATCCCAAATGAGGTCACCAAAAAATTACAGAGATTCTGATATTTTTTTTAACTCAACTAGTGACCTTTTAAGTGGCTACACTTTATGGACAGACTATAGTTAATGTTAGAATTTATTTTTATAATTGTATTATTTTTAAAAGTCCATAACTTATTTTTAATTTTTACACTGATCCATGTCTTGAAATTAAAGTTAATGTCATAAAATTGCATTATTATACTACGGTGCAAACAGTTTCCCTTCTGCGAATATCGGATTTGTGCAATGCTTATGGAGTTTCACAAAATTTTCATAAATATTATGGATTCCTCACAACAAAAAGTTTAAGAAACCATAGTCAGGGGTCTGTCCTGGGCAAATTTACTACCGTTTAGCACTACTTTCACAAATTCAACTTTGGGAAAAATGGTAGTTTCATAAAATGCTTTTAAAAAAGCAAGTTCTATGATTCTCTTCCCCACCTCTTAAAATTTTATTTTTGTATCCCTCTTAAAATTTTATTTATTAAATGATGACAAGTTCCTACTCGCACTGAGTGTTTGTTCAGTTCATGGGTCATAGCTCCCAACTCTGCTCTTGTAATGTATCATTTACTGCATTATGATTCAAATCTTCTGTATTTTGAAACTTATGTATATATATATGTATGTATATATATATGTATGTATATATATATGTATGTATATATATATATATATATATATATATATGTATGTATATACACACAATTTTGAAAGGCTTTCAGCTCAAATTTCGTAGGAAAATTTTCGGAGCTTACATTGTACAAGAAGGAAAAAAAATGAGAATCAATGGCATAGCGAAACAATGATTACCTCTGTTTGATAACAACAATGAAGAGCTGTTAAAAAAGGATGTTTGGCTGACAACGTTAGTATTCTTTTTTCTGTCATAGTGCAATCAACATCATCATCTTGAAGAATAACATCTTTTTTAAGTACTTTCACAGCAAAGACTTCATCTGAACCTTTCTTTTCTGCTAATAGAACCTTTAGATGAAAAGTTTTCAAATCAATTTTGATTAGATAAGATATTCATCATAAATAATAAGGCTAAAATTAACTATAAATAATTCATACTGTATTGTAAATCAAATATATAATAATCACTTCATCATTCATAAGGACAAATTTAAATAAATAATTTAAAATACAGTGAAATTTAAGTAACCATTAATTTCCATACTTGTTTTTGCAATAACTCAAGGATATTTTTTTATTGCTTGAAATCTTATTAGTTGATTATCGTGGATATCTTAACAATATATATACACCGAGTAGCATAATTTCAATCTGCAGCATAATCTTCATTAATTCATTTCTGTGGCCCTAACACAGTCAGACAAAAACTATCATTGCAAATTTAGACTTAATCAAACATGTGCACAGCAAAATTAGCATATATAAGGGACTAATTATACACAAAAATACTTACGTTAAAAATTTCTTATTTCAAATAAAAAAAAAATATTTTACTTTAAACAGTTTAACAGTTTATAAACAAGCAATCCTTAAACAGTTTATAAACAAGCAATTGGGGTTTTCATTTTTAATTAGAATTAAAGTTTTAATTAGAAACTAGGAGGCTACGCCCCCTGCTCGCTGCCGCTCGCCAACCCCCGGAACTGGTTTCGCAGTTCATTTCGGATTGCTTTGCAATCCGATGCTCGCTTTGCTCGCCCATTGGATACGTTCATAACGTCTAGCTTTTGTATACTTTTTTGAACACTGAAGTTCCGAAAAGTTTTTACTGTCGAAAATTCTAAGCCTGCGCATTTCAATATTAATTTGAAATTGCAAACAGTTCACATATTTTTCTTATTCACACTATTCTAAATTTCAGTTGTTGAGAAAAGTAACTGTTGTAAGTTTTGTTTTAAAGTCTTTCCCACCAGAGGGATAAAACCATGTGTTGTAAAACAATATGAAATAGTACTGAAAGCCGGATGTAAAGCATCTGCTTCGATGAAGATAATTTTGTGAGAATTTTTTTTATAATTCGGTGAGAATTCACCCGATTAGACATATGATGCTCACTACGTGCTCTTGCGCGCCGAAGCCTATCAATTAAAACGTATTAGCGTTTTATATAATATAGATCAGCCATATGACGCTCACTACGTGCTCTTGCCGAAGTCTATCAATTAAAAATGAAAACTGTTGCCAACGCGAGAAAAGAAATATCATCGGTTTTATTGATACATACGTATATATTAGCGTTTTATATAATATAGATTAGAACTTATTTTTAAATTTTTTTTCTTATCATTTAAATTCTTTATCTTATTAAGTTAAGAAAATTATTTGAATTTTATGAATGCATTCACGAATTAGCAGACCTACAAACAATTTTTGTTAAGGACCTGAAACAAATAGCAATTGAGTAAGTTTCAAGATTAAAAATGATCTTACATCTCTGTTTCTACTCTCAGTAATATTTTAAGTGTGTTTTTTTAAATCTGAGATGAAAAACAATTTTCAGGTGAGGTACCATGACAATTAAAAAAGAAAAAACTGAGATAAAAAATAATTTACCAGGCACTGCAGGTGTGTTGATAATCTGCAGCACCATCTTCCATGATGGAAGATTTCTACTACCGAGGATATAGATACATAAAGCATAAATTTATATAAAAAGAGAATTTAGATCGAAAATTAAAAGAAATAGAACACACACAATTTTTAGTTAAAACAGTGCCAAGCTGCTAAATTTTTAAATGGGAGAAAAATATTTGAAGAAAATGTCAATTAATTTACATTTTCTTCAATACAATTTATTTATTTTTATGATTTAATTTTACCTTCATTTATTTTAAACTAAATTAAATTATGTAACATTTGAAATTTATTAAATATGTTTGATTTTCCTAAAAAATCAGCATTTTTTTCTATGCTACCATTTATTCCCCACCTCCCACTTAGCAGTAAATTTCATTAAAATTTATATGGAGGCTTAAACAGTATTTTACGATAATTCATCAATGATATTATCCATTCCTAAGGCTTTAATTTTTTTCATTCTTTTGACACCATGCTCAGTTCCTTCTCTGGTTTGTGTAAAGTCTTCATCAACAGTTTTGATCTTCCTCATTATTAATCTCCATACAGTGCCGGATTATCCATTACGCCCGACTAGGCCATGGCCTGGGGCCCCCAATGATTAGAGGACTCCTTAAAATGGATTTTTTTTTAAATAAATTTAAAAAATAAAGAAAAACAACGATTTAAAAAAAAATCTATTTCAAATATATATGTTATGATTATTTTTTAGTTCTAATTTAACAAACTAAAGTAAAATTCAATTTATTATTATTTATTTTAATTTTAAATACGCTTTCTAGAATGAAAAGATATATAAATACTTTTATATTTGAATAAATAAAAAAATATACGAGAAAAAAAATTAATCTAAGGGCTCCAAAAATTTTAATGGCCTAGGGCTCCGCATACGCTTAAATGATACGCTTAATCCGGCACTGTCTCCACGTTTAAATCTTTACTCTAATTTCATTTAGTAAATCTCTAAAATATTCTGTTCACCTTTCTAGGATTTGTTTTTCTTCACCTATTTATCTACCACCATGACTCTTAAAGCCATTAATATTTGGATCAAATGTTTTGGAATGAAAATTCAGTGCTTTCTATAGTTCCCTTCATTCATTTTGCCTTTGTAGTGAATCAATTTAAGAATGTCATTTTAACCAGGTCCTTTTTCTGCAAATTTTATTTGTAACTCTGTATATATCCGTATACTTCTCCTTACAACTCTTATTATCATAGCTTTTCTAGCTTTGTTTTTTACTTTAATGACGTTGAAACCCCTGCCATATAATGACTGACATAAAATATCTCTATAAGTACACAGATAATTAATTAAAACCTTTTATCAAATTATGTAAAGTTCCATTATTCAAAAAAAATATACCTAAGTACTTAAAATATACTGAAGTTAATTTCCCTCAAACAGTTTTTAACTAAAATTCTTTTTCTTTTATGGCGTCCAGAGTTGAGTTCAAATTTCAACTAGCCATTTCAAGACAAAGAAAAAAGCAATTCAAAGCATTCAATACAAAAGATACAGTAATTTCTGAAATATTTATATTTATATAAGTTATGAAAATTTATTGAAACATTTTTCATAAAATTAAATTATAGAAAAGCTGTTGACATTAACTTCGGAATTCTTGTTTAAACTACTTATTAACAGAAATGGACAATAAGCTATTTAGTACATTTTCAGTCCTAATAAAATAATAAATATTTAAGAAATAAATGTTCAATAATTAGATGGTAAGATACTTAAAAATACTAACTTTTCCAAAGCTTCCTTTTCCTAATACTTTAATAAAGATAAAATCATCTAAGCCTAATTTTCGTGGTCGATTTTTATCCATATCCAAAAAATCTCCTTGGCCTGTAGGAAAGAATCGCTTTCCACCAGATTCTGATATATCTATGAAAATGTCAGAAATTACGATATAACATTTAATCATTAATTAAATTTCTTTGGTAAATGTTTTATTTATACTTTATAGTACAATAAATGAAATAGGAAAACTAATGTAACTTTTTAAAAGTTTGTTTTCATTTAATGTAAAATAATATTCAACAGCTACTCAAAACTAAGTCTAACACTCTTGGCTGTTCTCATTTTTATTGACTCTTGATTACATGCTATTTACTCAATTAAACAATTTTTATGAGAATTCATGAACTTTCCCCTTTTCCTACATTTTATTAGTAAACTATACTTACACTATATAGTAAACTTTTTAAAGCTCTCAATTTAAAGGAAATCTCTGTTACTACAAAAGGTGTTCAAATATTATACACACACAAGATATATTGAAAGATGCTAAATAAAATATAAAAATTAATGAAGTGTTAAAAGATATTGATGACAATAACTATTGAAAAATTTAAACATTTTTTAAATCTTTGAAAATTATAGTAGCTAATTTCTCTTCATCACGAATTAATTTTTAAGAAGGAGTATGCATGTCTATGATTTTTAGGAGACTTTTTTTTTTAAAGTTATTCAAAATGTATAATTATTGAGTTTCTATTAACATTTACACAATTTTTACACAACCTGAAGAGTAATTCCTCTTATTCTTAAGCATTAAAGCCTGCTACAGGCCAAAAATGCCTCTCTTAGATTTTTCTAAGGGATCTTATTCCGCATTACTGCTTTCTATTCGATTCACACCCAATTAATCTTAGTCTTTTTCAACATCCTGCAGCAATTTTTTGGGGGATATTCTTCTTAGCCGGGTCTTTTTTTTCCTTAGAAAGGTTATCTTTTTAGCTGGGTATGCATCATCATATCTTCATAAATGGCCTAACCATATGATAAGAGATGCTTTTACTATCTCAGGGCTGCCACCGGAGTTAAGACTGAAAAATCGTTGCTTCAAAAAAATGGTCTCCAAAACAGTTTGCAGGTACTTAAATAGTTGTCAAACCATTTAACTTATTTTTACAATATTGACACTTTAAAAATATATAATAATTCAAATATAAATACTATATATTTTCAGATGATTGCTAGCACTTAAAAATAAATTGTGTAAATCTAATTTAAAATATTTAGAGGCATTAGACAAATGTATAGAAAACCAAAACTCTATACTTTAAAAATACACAGACACAAGACCAATATTTTATAAATTCTGTTACTAAAGCAAAAGTAATAATTAAATGTGTAATTAGAATTTCATCAAGAATTATTAACTACAATGAATTAGTCAAATGGAAAAGAAATTTGAGTATACTGAAACTAATCAGCATTACATATCCTCATTTCTTAAAATTTTTCAGAAATTTCCTTTTTATTTTCCCCCAAGAGTCACACAAGAGTGACTGCCATAGTCACATTTTCTTCAAAATAGTCATTTAAGCTGCCTTATTACTCGCCAGTGGTAGTTCAGGCTATGGCAAATACACAGTAGCATAGCATGTAAAAATCTTGAAAATTTATTACAAAAATAATTAATCTATTCAAGCCGTTGGAAAATGCAATTAAATTTATAAAATCCCATCGGTCAATTTCATCTCGTGAGCACATGATCTTTACGGTTAATCCCGACTCCTCCCACAAACACTGACTCGATAGAGAACTAATTAAAACTCCGATTGGGAAGCCTGTTGTTATTTTTTGTTTGTGTCCCTGCATATTTTGTGTGTCCATATATTTGTAGATAAAATTAAATATTGAATGTTACACTCTCAGTTACAATTATTTAGATGTTCTATAGAAGTTTATGTAACATTAAGAAGTGTTCCCAGCCTTTTGGTGGAGGTAAGCTATCTCCTTTCTTGATATCTTTTAGTAATACTCAAAATCTGGCATCTTTGCTGGGATTCGAATAGACATAGATAGACTTAAGGAATTAGAAAAACTAGAAAAGAACTTTATTAGACTTTATGAAACTTGATATACGAGTGTTAAAAAATTACGAAAGCCAGTGAGAAGTTATCTTTCAAAGGCATTGAATAAGGCATTAGATTTATTGAAAGAAAATGAGCCCGATATTATAACCACTCAAATTTTTTTTTTTAAGAATAGAAGTTCAAAGAGTTGAAAGAATTGGATAACAAACTTTTATCCATTTTAAATGATGATTCAACATGCTCGCACGATAGTTTTGATTTAGAGTATGACGCAATAACTGTGTACAAAGATAGATTTCTAGAAACGAGTACTAACTTAAAGAGATGATTGAATATTATAGAAAAACCAAAATTAGAAGAACCCATGTTAAAAAATTCTCCTGAAAATATTAATTCGCCAAGCAAGTTCAAACTTCCTGAATAAGAATTGAAACAATTTAATGGAAACATTAAAGAATGGCTTCAGTGGAGGGGGCAATTCAAAAGAATTCAGACATTGAGGATGATGATAAACCTCAGTATTTAATTCAATCAACTGCAAAAAATTCTGCAGTGAGGCAGTTAGTAGAATCATTTCCTCTCCAAAATTATGAAGAAATTATAAAATGTTTAGAACAGTGTTTTGGGAGGGATGATTTGTTGATTGAAGTTTATATTTGAGAAGTTCTTGCGTTAGTAATAAATAATACGAATCCTCAAGATCAAAAGTATTTTTTAGTCAGATTGTACCACACATTAGAAGGTCAATTGAGATGTCTTGAAGCTTTAGGTGTAGCAAAAGATAATTTTTCTGCTATTTTATTATATCCCTTGATTGCCAAGCAATTTATTGAAGGTACATCAATGGGTGATGGGGGGTACATCAATGGGGGTAAGTGAATTAAAAACAGAGATTTCTGGAAACGATAAATTAACTAATCTTTTAAATTTTTTTAAAAAAGATATCAAATTGGAACAAAAAATTTTTGATAGCTCGTTCCCCTTTTGGACTAGAAAATCATAATAGAAAACCGATGACTCACCATTGCCAGAGGAATAAGATTTCTGCCGCTGATTTAATTATTAGCTCTAAACAAAACATTTCACATCTGGTGAATTTGAAAGTGGATGAGCGTATATTTTGTAATAAATCCCATTTAAGTCAAGAATGTAGATATGTTATGAGTTTAACGCTCGAAAAAAAAAATCCTTATGGAGAAGAGCATCTGTTTTCGACTTATAAACCTAGACTTAGTGCGTGCTATTGTAAAAATAAAGTTAATTGCTTGAAATGTAATGGGCAGCATTTGCAATTTATGTGTAAAATGGATGAAGAATTTCATGGCAATAAAATTAATAAAAAGAGGTTGAAAGAAAAAATCATTACGGAAAGCTCTTTAACTAACACTTCATACATGCGTCAGGTTTATTTACAAACATTAGCAGTACGAATACATGGGAATAATAAAACCAAATTCATTCTGATTCTCATTGAAACGGGTTCGCAGCGATCGTACATATCAAAATACGCTGCAATGTGTCTGGAATATGATGTTATAGGTGAAGAATCTATTTTACATTCTTTTTTTGGGGTGTTAAAAAGGCAGAAATTCATAAAAGATATTTAGTTCATATAAGTAATGTAGATAATAGTTATGTCATTGTAATTTTGAGGTTAGTTATCATTGTTATAATCAATAGTTATCATTGTAATTTAACATATGTAGTTGTGTGTTTACTTTAAACTCAAATTATATAACTCTTATGTGAACACCATATGTATTAAAAAAAAGAAAGAAAGAATTTCCATTTTTAAACTTACCTAGTGAATCAAATTCTACAGAAAGGGGTGAGGTATGCATTTTTTCAGATAGTTGACCCATTTTATTAGGAGATTCACTAATGGATGGCTGTAATAAAGATATATATATATGTATGTTCGTAATTCATTCAAATTTTAAATTGTAATACAGGATAACAAATTTTTTTTTTGAAAAATATAATAATTTTTTTGATTTTTAAACAACTGGTTACATTTTAAGACAGTTTGAATTAAGATAATATGATAGACGAAAAAAGTCAGCATTCTTAAGCAACAGTGATATTTAACTAATAAAAAGTCAAAGAATAAAAAAATATATAAACACTATGAGGTTAGAGAAAAAAATAATTATTGTTATCCTTTATTACTAACTGTAGGGTAAAAAGGAAATTTCTAAATGCTATAGAAGTGAATTCCTGACTTGAATAAACTTAAAGAATATTTCAAATTTGACAAAAGTTTTGATTATTAATAAAAAATAAATATTTGAAAGAATTTTTTTTTAACAAAAATTAGAGTTATATTGGCTGTTTACTGAAAATAATTTTTTAAAGAGGGGTTTTATTTAATAGAACGAATAAGTATCAATTAGTACTTTCAGAAAAATGTGACTGTGAAATTTTTCGGGCTTACATAACTAATAAACTTTCTTTGCATATTTTGTTGAAAATGAGGCACTCCTCTCACATTTTAAAACAAAAATTAAATTTTTAATCCAACACAATTTACATTCATGCTATAGGTCAACTTTAAGTAAATGGAAAATCATGTTATTTTTATTCTAACTTGATAATTATAAGAATAACTTAAAGATGCAATTAGTATAATTACCTTCTTTTTTCTCCCCACAGGTTTTGCCAATTTATCACTAGACATACCCATGGTACTCAAAACATCGGCAATTTGTTTAGAATTAACTCCACAATTGTTTGCTACGTTCTTTTCACACCGCTTATGAACATTCATGCTACAAACTAAATAATAAAATTAAGGTTAATTTAACAAAATAACACACGAAATATATTTTTAGCAAAACTTAGATCATTAACTAAGTGATAAAAGTAGCAACAGACATGAACTTGATAATTTAGAATTTATTAATATGCATGTCCTACCTTCACATTGTAAGCCTTGTCTAAATAAGCCATACAGCATTGAACCACAATGATCACAAAATGTAGGTCTCTTAAAGTTATGTACAATAAAACGATGAGGGAGGTTTATGTTGAATCTGCTACCAACTCCAGTTATTACCTAAAAGCACAATTAAAATATCTTGATAATGAAATCAAGTCTTATCCCTACCTCAAAACATACAAATTATATAAGATCTGTTAATTAAAAAGTTTATCTTAATTGCTTAAATAACAAGTAAATACATTAAAATACCAAAAATACACCAAGTGTCAGTTTTAGCTTGAGAAAAGAAAATGTTAACTTATTAAATGTTAACTGTACCTGAAATTTCATTAAATTATGTTTTAATTAAATTATGTGTCGAACTTACTTCTTCGGTGGTCACATCTCTTGAACCTGGACATTTCGTTACAACAAATTCATGACAACGTTTGTGGACAACACATGTGCAAACTGCAAATTAAATTAAAATTGGTGTTAAGCAAAAAATAAATTTTAATAAAAAAAGAAAATTTAAAAATTATTTTAAAAACTTTACCTTGACACTGATAACCTTGTTTGCCAAGACCCCTATTAAAAACAAAATTAGTAATTACATAAAAAGAATTGCAATAATCAAAGCAGAAAAAATTTTAATTCAATATATGAATTCATCTTAAATTAAACTCTTAATTTTTTAAAGTAAAAGCTCAAATAACATTTGATTAATAAGTTTTGTAACTAAATTCTATATTCAATCCACAACAGCATAGGTTTCACATGTTTAGAACCGTATCATCTTTTTTTTCTTTCTGACACTTGAATCTTTGGAATAATAGTCAGATCTGAAGAGAATATAGCACGAAATTAACTAGACTTTTATTATTTAGAAGTATTCATTATTTAGAAGCATTATTATTTAGCACGAAATTAACTAGACTTTTATTTACTTATTGTGGTTTTCCTTATTTCAGAACTTTTGATTACCAAAAGGTTTTCTGAAAATTTAGAGCTACTGAACATAATCTGAAAAAAAAAGTTAATTACTTTAAATTGTTGGTTATATTAAGCTTATTTATTATAGGGCTTTTGTATGCTTCAACTATGCAAAACATTTTAACCCAGTTTATTACTAGATTATTATTACATTTTATTCAAGTTAAGTACTTACTTTAAACCATTTTACTTCCAAAAGGGCTTTTACCAAAACTAAAGGTATATTGAAAGCTTTTAAAGTTCTAATTTTTTGCAGAAACTGTAATTTTCTAATATAATTATTTTATATTATAAAATATAGTTTTTTAGTTTATAGCATAAAATATAGTTAGTATGGCAACAGTATAATTTCAACTGACTGTAACCAACTAAATTTTGTCATATATAATTAATTTTAAGCTGAGGACAATTAAAGATGTCTGAATCTTTTTTGTTTATCAAAGAATGTATCACATGATTTTTCAGGCCCTGACAACATCCAGAAACAGTTTTAGACCATTATTATTCTAAGTTTTATGGAGTTATTTTTCTTTCATGATAATTTTACTTACATTCAAATTTTTTGTGTGAAATGTTCATCCTACTTAGGAGGTTTATTCTTATGTTAAGAGAAATATTTACATCCTACTTTATTTATTTTTTGTTTAATTATTGCAAATGATTTATTATAATAGAGATAATATATACTCTATATTGCACTAAGTACATTTTCAAAGTCATTTTCTTTAATGGGTGCATAGATTTTTTTTTTCAACCCTTTATATCAAGCATTTTTAAAATTTATTTAATGACTTCATTTTGTAAACTGTATTTGGGATAGTATTTGAATTATTTTTGTGGCCTAATGATACATCATTTTTACTTTATAATGTGGCTTGAAGGTCACCCAGCTTGAGATTGATGGATACCAGCTTATGGATACTGCTGACCACAATGTTACAATTATATTATTGGAACTTAACGTTTTAGCTTCATGAACCCTTTAGTACAGAACTGCTTTAAAAGATTTGTTTTTTTTTAAAGAACAGTATTATAGTATATTTTAATTAAGTTTTTTATTTACCCAGCCTTAACTGTATTAATAAATAAAATTATGAACCATGTAGGAAAAAAAATTGCAACATACCAAATGAATTCTCTACAATGAGAACAAAAAGTAGGTTGCCTAAGTATAGTAGCCATAAACTTATGGCCATTGATTTGATGAACCCTTCGGCGCATGGCACCTCGCCTTCTGTTGAAACCCTGTCTTTCTTTAAATACTTTAGGTTGCTTGGGAGCGGCACTTTCTAAAATTAATAGATCAAACTTTTAAAAACAAATACACTAAACATTTTTAATCTAAACTATTTATCAAGTTTACAATATGAAAATATTCTAATTAGATATTTTAACTTGCCTTCAGGAATAAGTTCAATAACAACATGTATTTTTCCGCCAGGCTCCAAATCAATCTAGTTTAAAGAAAAGAAGAAAGAAAAAAAAAGCTTTAGTCTTTAATAAAGCCTAAGCTGAATATTATCTATTGAAGTAATAAAAACTTTTTATTTGGAAGATCACAATGTTTATATAATTACTCAGGTTTAAAGTATACAGATCAAACCCAAAATATTGAGTTGAAACCAATGAAAACGAAAAGATTAAACTTCATTCATCCCGTTTTTATCACATATAAATTAGATAAAATATATTACTTTAAATTTAAGTACTTTCCTTTCTTTTTATACAGATTTTTATTTATTTTTCCCTTTCTATATTCAAACAGGATGTATAGTCAAAGTTTTCAACAAAAACAAGCACTTTTCTTTAAAATATATATATACTATTAGGATATGCACACTAATAAATTTTTTCTTATTATTATTATTGAAAAAAGTTCATTTTCAATCAAATATGATAATTTTTATTAAAACATGCAACTTGGTTCAGTATTTCTTTAATGAAATGGTTAAATAAATTTCAGTAATTTACAAACGTTAATACAATAAGTATTAAATTGAAACTAAACAGTTTTGACAGAATTAAATTATTATATTTACACCATATTCATGGTATAACAAATCTGAGATGATTGAATTTTTTATTTCAATTGTCTTTAAATCAAATGATAAAGAGATAATTTTTTTTTTGTAATGACAAATCTATACAGAATAAGATTTTTTAACGCATCTGCTAAAAATATTAAAATAGTGAAAAGCCCTTCACTTTACTATTTTTAAAACCTTACCTTTAAAAATTATTCATTTTTTCATAAAGTAACTGAAGAGGATTGAAAATTTTAATAACACATAGAGTATAATAACACTAAAATAAAATTTTAAAATATTTTATGCATCTAATGAATGGTCCTCTGGGTAAAAACTCTCATTATTAAAAAATTTCATTTAATTCCTATCTTTATGAAATCAAACGAATAAAAGGGTGACGACCCACAAAAAAAAAAAAAAAAAATTCTTTAAAAATGGGAATGACCACAGGGATCCTTAAGTACAAGGATTGTGGTGCTGATGTATAACCTAAATAGAACATCATACACGATGGCAGGAGTCACCACCAGCAATGTTACCAGCAGAAAAGTTAACAAGAAGGAGAAATAAAATTTTGTATTGCCAATGAAGAAAAGAATTTTACAATGTTAAATTGGTTCCCATGATTGGCAAAAATTTGAGAGATTTTAGCTTAGCTTTGATTTCAGAGGGCGAAAGTTGAAATCTTAAATCTGGAATCTCTCGCAAACTGAAGCTGAGTAGCATGTGAGAGTGCACATGCTACTCAGCATTTGTATTTGCAAGAATACTTTCCACTGAATCCAGAGCATTGTGTGCGGATGCGAACTAAAGAGTAATTTATTCGGCAAGTAAAGTTGCTCTTTCTTGTGCTACATAACAACGGTATACAAAATGGATTTTGGTTGATTGAATTGTGAAAACCTTGTATATTGAAAACCACTCTTTTTTCACATTTCAAGGTGACAATCGACAAGGTAAAGAAAAAGTCTAATTTTGTAAAAGAACATTTAGCATTTTTACAAGCAACCAATGAAAAAGCACCTTAAAAATCATCAATAAATGTCCTTAAAAATATTTTAAAACGCTACAGACCCTTTCAACTCCACATGTAAATCGCGATCACTATAACAAGTCTAACTAACCTAAGACATTGTGGGCCACTTCGGAAATTCTCCACACTTCGGTTGGACACAAACACTGTACATAACATACATATATAGACCGTCACATAAAAAGCTTCAACAAATCTTTTTATGTTATTTCTTTAACTAAATTCTCCATAATTTATTATTCGCATCCTGTCTATCTTCAAATTCAAGTATGTAGGAATTTTAACATATAAAATTTTCCCCAACTGTGAGAACCATATTACTCCCTCAACCTATTTAATGTACCAATCGCAATTTATTCAGGAGCACTTTGATTTTGTGTCACTTGGATGATTTTTCTCTTGCCAATAATGGTTAAATGAACATTGATGTCCTTTTCCCCAACCTAAGACCTGTTTTTATTCAAAATGCAAAGGCACATGATTTTTCACAAGCAATTTTAATTTTATTGAGTGTCATTTTCTTGGTGCGGAAATGCAACTTCTGTTGGCATCATGAAAACCAGATTGATGTATAAAATTTAGCGCCAATAAAAATGGCCTTTACTGATATAATTATGAGTAAAAACAAATTTACCAATTATGAATAATAGAGTTATTTTAGGTAGATATTTTTTTTTGTTTAAGTTTGCATTTAATTTTATATCATAAATATTAGTTAGCTTAAAAAAATGAGAAGATTTTTGTTTGAGGTGTTGAATTCTTTTTTCAATGTATTTTTTTTAATTTAACTTTCAACTCTGAAAATTAAATTGCATCATCTTTCTGCTACATGAGATTGTGAATCTCTTTCAAAGATCTTCAAAAAGAGCTCTGCCACACACAAATATTTTGAATAAATTTGAATCTACTTATTTGTTTTGTTAATATTTTTGATTTGATTTTTTTTCTCATGTTTCTGAGGCTCTTTTCACATTTGGAGCAGAGGTTTTCCTGGTACCTGGGAGAGGTTTTGGTGGTCTCTCCTAAAGGTTTTCTTCAACACAAAGTTTCCAGAAAAAATTCTGTGCCTCCCAAAAGAGGTCGCAAACAGAGGAGGTTGCTACGCAGGTGTGGCCTTTTTCCAGAGGTTCCACTGTATATATATATATATATAGAGAGAGAGAGAGAGCAAAAAAAAGGTAAGCATAGATAGAAGAAAAAAGGTTAGCAAGTGAGAGTGTTTGAGATGAAATATTAAAAAAAAAAAATTGGTTCTGGCATACATCTCATTAATCATGATATGTTGCAGGTGATGAAATAATACGTTCTTGTAGAACAAGAGCAGAAAAGGTAATATGAAGAGAAAGAACTGCAGGTGCTATACATGGGGAGTTTTGGATGGCAGACAACAGCAATGGAACAATGTTTTAACGTTGTTATTCCTTGAATTTTGTTACCATGCTCCTTTTTGCTTTATGTTGCTTAGTTTGTGTTCGTTATTTTGAATTAGAACAGCATTAACACGTAGTTTGGTCTTTGGTCATGTACTCATGTCAGTGTGAGAATCCAAACGTATCACCTATATCAGTTTTATTTTGAATTCATCTAACAAGTTGTGATTTTGGGTATAAATTTATAAGGCATATTTATTGATTATTGTTGAAATGATGAATTCAAATAGAATGAAATATGATCGATTGATTTAAAAGTTAAACTATAAAAATATATTTTCCTGTAGAGAATAGTAGTTTCAGTCAGAATTTTTTTTTCTAATTTTGGTGTTTACTTTTTAATGTTTCTTTTAAATTTTATTTATTTATTTCTTTTTTAGCTTGGCAAAAGCAATAATGTTCGGCAAAAGCTCAAAAGCATTTTTAGTATAAATTTTAATACCAATTGTTAGAAATTATATAAAAAAATAACAATTATCAATCACCAAATTAGTGATCGTTCTAAAAATTTATTGGATGGATTTATATTTCATATCTAAATCAAATGCATGTTAATGTCATAATATTTTTTGCTACATTTCCGACTTTTATCTAAATAATATTTGTGTAACCTCTCAATTGCATTGCAAGTTTGTAAAATTGTTTACAAATCTTATTTATGAGCGATATGTAAGAGCCTCTAAATGCATATCCAAATGTACCAAGTACAGTACAGAACCTGTTATCCGGAAATCAGAAAACCGGAAAACCAAAAAACCGGAATTTTCCCTCCATTTTTAAAAAAAAAAATTTTTTTTTTCCTCATAAGATTTTAGGATTTTTCTTTCTTTTTTGAAAGATGTTTACCTTACCATCATTTTGGAAATAATCATTAGTGTATTACTTCATCGTTTTTTCTTCTTTTTAAGATTATTTCCAAATATATATATTTTTTTTTAGTTGGATTTAACAATTAAAAAAACGGCTTTTTGTAGCGATTCAGAAAACCGGAAAAATCAGTTATCCGGAATAGCGATGATCCGATTGTTCCGGATAATCGGTTTCCTACTGTATAAAAAAATATGAACACTACCATTATACTTGATCTCCAAGAGTCTTGCTCCAAAAAAGACCTAGCTATTAAACATCAAAGCTAAAAAATCAAGACCATGGAGTCCTACTAAAAGAATGGCTTTGTTTGGGCTTCCACTGATGCATTTTCAGACGAAATGTTAATTAATGGTGGAGCTGGGATAAACTTTGTTCTCTAAGATGGCAGCACAAAACAGTAAAAAATTGGGGCAGTAGAAATTGCCTCGAACTACAAATATGATTTCTCTACCATCTCGAAAGCCATAAGCATCTATAAGAAGCAAGGTTGGCAGGTTTTTGACATGTGACAGTTTTTGACAGTTTAAACCATAGTTTAAACCGTCACGTCAAAAACCTCACTGTCAAAAATGTCGAAAATGTCAAAAACCTATATTCATATGTGAAATTTAATTAATACATAAAATTTATATATTTTTTATAAAGGATAGTGTTTCTAAATATGTTCTAGAAAAAATAAATTTAAAATTTTGAAGAAACACTTATATTTTGAATAGTAACCAAAATCTTGTACTTTTGAAAGCTCACATCTTTTGTAATATTATGTATTCATTTTCATGTGTTATTGAAAATCTGCAGTGATATTATTAAGAAATTTATTTATAACCAAATTTAGTGTATAGTATAGATTATACTAAAAATTAGACATTTTTAAAGATAAACATTAGCAGTTTTGTACATTAGACATCTTTTAAAGAAAAATCTTTTTAATATTCTTTTAAATCTTCTTAATAATCTTTTTAACATAAGACAATACAAATTTAAGTGCTTTCTGTTAAATACACAGAGTAGTTAGTGTCGATTTACAGTATATTCAGCCTATTCATTTACTATGCTGAAAATTTAGTTTATCCAAATACTTGTGAATTTCATTTTGCTGAATACTATATAGTTTTGTTGAATATCTAAATATTCAGCTGTTGAATAATTACTTCTTGCTTTCAAGATATGCATTATTTGTATTCTTAATACAAGTGGAGAAAAAAAAATTAAGAGATAAAAATTGTTTTAAAATGATAAGTGTAATAATTATAAATAAATATAATAAACAATATGAATTATATTTATCATTATTCATAAATATAACTACTTTTAAATTCAAATTAACATACTGGATAATAAAGATATTCGGTATAACATTAAAAAAAATTTTTTATACACTTGTATCTTGTATCAAGTTTGTATTTATACAACATAACTTGTAAGTTCCTTATAAATATTAGTTATATGTTCCTTATATGTCAAAAATGCATAGTAATAAACTTTTAATTTTCTTAAGTATCAAAAAGAAAAAAAAAATTTTTTTAAATATAAATATTTAAACAATTTTTGTGCAAAATTTTTCTGCACATGCATTTGAATATAAATTTCTGAGATTTTAAATCTGTTATTTTACCTTAATTTTAATTAAAAAATATTTTAAAACCTGCTGATTACCTATAGTATAATTAAATTTCAATATAATGCATGGCAACTGTTGGTAGTTTTGAAGTTTATATATTTTCTTGGCAAACTTCAGTTTTTGACATTTTTGACGGGTTTTTGACGGTTTAAACCAGTATTATACCCTTGTCATGTCAAAAACCACTTTTTGACGTCAAAAACCCAACCCTGATAAGAAGCATATACAGCGGTTGGAGGCATAATAATCTTCAGTGATTCTAAGGCTGCCTTCCAAGCAATCTAACAAGATCTTTCAAGAATTACTCATAATAAATATGTTGCTTTGGACCAAACCAACAAAATAAACACTGCATCATCTAATGCAGTGTTCCCCAATCCCCGGTCAGTAGATCAAATGGTACCGGGCAGTCTATTTCATTGAAATTAAATTTAAATTCCTAGGCTTATACCCAAATCTGTGTTCCATTAAAATGTTACTTATTTTTTAAAAAGGGGGGGGGCCCGAAGGTAGTGACATAAATTTTTTAATGTTTGTAATGTATCATTGTCTCCGATTACCCCCAGATGGAGGTGTCTCACTGCAAAAAAACATGCTCAGGGTTCTGATTTAACGTGCTAGTAAGTTTATATTCATTTTTTGGTGTAACTGTATTTTATTTTGAAGGCATGTTTAAGTACAATTAAATTAAAGTTATTAAATCCAAATTATCTAAAATATAAACAATCAACGTCCCCCCTCTCCCCAGCGGAGAGCGGTAAAATTATCAAACGTTGACAGGTCCGCGGATATAAAAAGGTTAGGGTGGGGAACACTGATCTAATGGATATCGGCACATATAGGCATAGATGGCAACAAGGCTATGGTCTTAGCCAAAGAAGTGATACAACTAAATGAGGAATTTCTTCATTCTGTCATGCTTTGTGACATAAATCCAGTTTCAAAGATAAAAAATAGGGGAACCTAGTAGAACACCAGCAGAAAACTTACAAAACCCTAACAAGACTGACAACCCAGCACTTCAGGAGAATGGAACCAGAATGAACACTAATTGCAACAACTGCCTCAACACCAAACTGGGACCTCATCATGGTTTCACCTGCCCTGCTAAAATGGCTGCAATACAGCAAATTGTCCCCGAAGAGGACCTCTATGCAGACAATTGCTTGCAGATAGATGAGGCTGTGTGGACCGCCCTAGGCACCATAGACTATCCATGGACAAGACAACCAACCATAAGAAAATATGAGAAATTTTTATGGCACTCTTTTGAAAGTTAGCAAATTACAAATAGCAAATATTATGAGTTGCAAACAGATTTATAATAAAAATCTATAATTCTAATATCGAAAATTCATAATTTTTGGTAATATAGAGCTAAAAAGTTAACTTGCTAATATTTCTTTAACTTGACATAGCTTTTTGCAGATCCTTAAGCTACTTAATGCCAAATACATTCAATACATTAAGGAAAGCTTGGATGTCAAATTTCTGTAAAAAAAAAAAAAACACAGATGATAAAGGGGATATTTCCATATAGTGATCTGTCATGAAAACTACAATCACCAAAGTGCCTAATAGATTTTAAACTTACAAATTAAAAAAAAAAAAAAAACACGTAGATGTTTGCCCGGAAATGGCCATGAGTTATATCTTTTGAGTTGGTCCCCTTCTGTAATGTTTGTTATTTTTTTTAGTTTCTCGCGGGCTGCTGCCCAGAAGTTGCCAAGACTTGGTGATTAACCTCCCACAGATCATACTACGGAAATCTCCCCATAATAAAGCACAATAGGACTTAATTACTTGAAAATCGTAGAAAGTTTTGGAAATAAAAAAAAATTTGGCCATTGTGTTTTTGTCAACAGAGAAATGTTTAAAAAAAATCTGTCTGACAGACTTATATTAAATAATACACACAAATTATCTTCATTATTAAAACAATTTAATTCTAAAGCAACTAATAATTAAATTATAAAGCAACTTCTTAAGATTTTTAATACAAGATGAATAGGGAGAATAAGTAAACAATAGATTTAAGTCAATTTACTTAATGAAATACTAACCCAAACGTCAGATTCATATTTGCCAGATTCTTTCGATGACTGAAGAAGCTCATCAAATGAAATGTTACAATTAGCTACAAAATCATCAGGCGGAATTGCCGCATCGTGAAAAACAGTCAGTCCCAAAATTTGTCCTGCATGAACCTCTGACATAAAAAACTCATTCCATACCGGCTTGAATGTTTTCTGTTTGGTTGTGGAGCGATCGACATGAATTTCGTCGACATCGACTGCAACATAAGGATCAATTAGCATTAGCTGTTGTTTTCCCACAACTGTAGCATGTCTAGTAGCATATTCTGTCGGACGTAAATCCACCGCTTCACAAATCTTCAATTTTAATGTTCCTGTAAATTGCGGCATTTCTGCCTGCGGCAGCTTAGGTTAAAAAAAATAATAATTCACTAAATATGCTTCAACACATTATGAAATTTTCTCAAAATTGACGAACTGCGTAATTTTACGCATTCAATCAAAAAAATCTCCTTAACATTACAATATAAACATGGCCTTAACCATCTTCATTATGGTCATTACCATACGATATCCCACAGTTCTCCTTGACCTGAAAGTAACACTTCTGCGCAAGCGCGTCATTTTATCAATGCTTTTCTCTGGAGAAAAGGGAAAAAGAAGAGAAACCAAAAGTATGTTTTGAAAACGACAGTAAACAAATTTTACTTGTTTTTAAGATCAAATAATAACAATAGGAAAATCATGAAAATATTTCTTTCAACTCTAAAAGATAAAATAAAATGTAGTGAATTAAAATAATTTGGGGCATGAAACTGAAACAAGAACCAATTAAGGTGCTTGAGTAAATTCTCAGATTAATATATTATATTAATTCCTTATTAGCTACTAACTCTGAAATGATTAGGTAGAGTTTTAATTGAAATATTTATAATAGAACTATAAATAAATCAATTAATTTCTATTATATTCACTGGAATTTAAACAAATTGTTGTCGGATTTGATTAAATTGTAGGTGCGACGAGTACTATGCTACGCGCTTATAGCTCTCCAAATTTCTAATTCACTTTATTCTTGATGGTGATTCACTCGACTCTCGGCAGATGGTAGTAATAAGCGTTTATTACTTCGTATCGATTTGTTCACAAATTCCCAATCGCAACGAACTATAGGGAGCGTTGTTGTATGCGACGAATACCTGCGATTTCTTTATGAACAGTCATTCAGTAACTCAGGAGTTCTGGAAACGTCTTTAATATAGCGAGTAGCATTGTAACGTTCCTTCTTTATTGCGTCTTATTAAGTTTAAAAAAGAAAAACGTTTAATATTCTTTCTTATGCAAGCGGGAAAAAAATTGTATTCCTTTTTTTTTAGAGAAGGAACATCCAAAACACATCGGAAAAATATTTGTAAATAAACAGTAAAAAATATGTATCTTCTTATTAGGGTTAAAATCTAATGCCTAAGAAATAGTTTCACTGCACTTTATGATATAACATGAAAGGCCTATTTAAACTTTAAATTCCATAGTTTTAAGAATCATATTACCTCAGAAATTGAAATGAACAAAAAATAGGACATAAAGCTTCATAATTTTATATAGTTTAATTTTATAAACGAAGTTTGTTGACAACAATTTATATTAAAACATTTTAAGTTTCAATGAAAATCATTATTTAGAAACTCAAAAACGTAAAATAAAGAATGCTTACGAAACAAAAAAAAATAATAATTCTTTTTGACGCCTTTTTTAAGTGCTATAAAAATGCGTCTTTGGGATTTGCCAAAAACAAAACAAGATGCCATTTTATTTTTTCAGGAGCGAAATATTTTATCGAAAAAAACGAAAAAGTACCAATTCTCATGACATGAAACTTTACCTTAGTAAACGTACGTTTTGGAAATGTTATTTCATTTGGATTCTTATTTATTAGAGTTGATATGGCTACAGCATAAGGTGAAAGAAAATAGAGATTGTTTTGAATCTATGCTGAACTCTATATCGGCCCATTGTCCACTGAAATCCGATTGACTACTTTGATTTCAAATAAAGTGTTTTATTTTATGATTTGTCACAAGCCGACCAGGTGGCCGAGTGGTAAGCGTGCCTGACTGCGAATCCGATGGTTGTGGGTTCGAATCCTGCTCAGGGCATGGATGTTTCTTTCTCTCTCTGTGTGTTTTATGTCCTTTCTCCTTTGTGTAAATGCGACCCGCTCTCGCCCTATGAACGGGTTTGTGGTTGTGTGACGTGGGCGACGCTGCTCCACCGCCGTGGCTTATCCACAGGTGCCCACTGGGTAACGAGAAGAGAGAAGCAGTTTTTCCATTAGAGCCCCATGGGGCAATACATCCCAGGTGCCCGCCATTAAGAAAAAGAAATGATTTGTTGCAAGAATTTCAAGTGTAAATTGACGGCACTTAAAAACCGTCAAATCTGCAGCGGCAGTGGCGTTAATAAGTAAGTACCGAGTTTTTATTCCATACTTTTCTGAATCATATTACTTCAAACATTAGATAATATGCAAGAAGTATACGTAAACACATTATGTTATATCATTTAATTTTTAAAAAAAAGTATTTTGACAACAATTTTTATCAAAAAATTATAAACTAAAAAAAGTAAAATAAAGATATCTTAGGATAAAAAAAGATTTCGAAAATTCCTTATATTGAAATAAAAACTTTCATATTGTTTCTTTCTTTTTATTCTTATAGTTCTTAATCAGACGTAAAAAACCATTCTGTAGGGAACTATCATCAAATAAGAAAAAATATTATTTACAAGCAAATTTTTTATTATAAAATCTTAACACTCACCTGTTTTAGAAATCCGCAGAATTCCAAATGAAATGTTCTTCGCTTGAAAATTTTATTTTCAAATAATCTATGCATAGTTTATCCCTTCATTACTTTTAGATAACATATCACACACCAAAATTTTATAATTGTATGATCTCGATATGATTGTGAATATGTAGCTTAAAAACAAAATAGCTGAATTCTAGTTTAAATTATTCATTCAAAACTAAAAATTACTTATCAAGAAAGCGATAAAAATTTATTAATAATAAGCACAAATGATACTATTTCAAGTAATTTGGATGATTCTTTATTGTTGTTTTCCGAATTATATAGATACAGAAATATATACTATTCTATAAAGAAGAAGAATATTCTATAACTATTACAGTTCTGTACGTTCTGAATTCGCATTTATTCATTGGAATAACGGAAGCAATGTTGACTTCACTTTAATTTGTAATTAATTGAAGACAGAAAAAATTATTTTACATTAAAACACACATCTGTATCAGCAAGTGATCATGAAATCGGTAAAAGAAAGGTAAAAATTATTGAGAAATTGTTCAAGTGCTTGGCATGTTTTGCTTCAATGTTTGGCATGTTTTGGTTAGTTTTTTCAAGTTCTTCTACCTTTTCCTTCGGGATATTCGGCTTATTATTTGTTGCTAAGAAAATGACGTCCGTCTTTGCCAATGGTTATGTTGGATATGCCCGATATTTTCAGGCTCCCGCTAGAGGACGTACTCAAGCGTTGCGATCGCGAATAGACAGGGTTAGTCCTACGTCATCAACGACGTCACTAGCTCTCCTCGTTCCAAACTTTGTTTTGAACGGAGCAAACAACATGGCATTTCTCATGTAGTTAAAAGAGGGTCAATTAAAGCTTTGAATATATTAATATAGAGTCGAATTTAACCTCTGAAATGGCAAGAAAAAGTGTTGCATATATTAATATTATATTAATCTCTTTTTATGATATCAATTGGAGTAGCTTATTAATTGTAAATGATTATGAAAACTTTTTGTATGTATGATTGGGAGAATTTGTATTTAATATTTACCATATAAATTGTAGTTATAATCTGGAAATTTGTGAATCTTATTATTTGGAAAATGTTAATTCTAATTTATGTTTAATTTTTCGTAAAATATGTATATTATATTAAATAATTGTTTTTTCATAATATTGAGACAACTTATTAATTGTAAATAATAATGAAAATTTTAAAACAAATTAAAAAGTTATGTAAGGAGCATGAATAAAGTCAGATAAATTAGTGAAAATTATAAAGCATTTAAGATACACGTTTTTAAAATAGTAAATTTGCCAATAAATTTGAGCTAAAATGATAGGAAGTAAAAAAAAAAAGAAAAAAATATGTAAACAAAAGAGTTGACTGGTCTTAAAACATATTTACAACCAAATTATGAAATAAATTTGGATGACTTGAATGTTACGTTCACTGTAACAAATAAAATATTACTATGAAGGTAATTTAAAAAAAATTTGATTCTGACGGTCAAATGCAAATTTTATTCTATAAAAAGTGATAACAGTAACATTTGCCAAATATTATAACTAAATATGTATACATGCATCAAAGAGTTAAGTTTCTAAATTAAAAAATTTCTTAAAAATTTGAATTATATTTACTTGAAATGCATGCGAAATTAATATTATTAAATAAGTAAAATTTAAACACCTATGTGAATACATAGATTAATAAATATAAATGTTAAATAAAAGTTTATGTATGGGATAAGTATGTTTTAAAGAATTCTAAAAAAATTCATGTTGCACTTTCTTATCGAATAAAATAGGAATCTGAGATTTTAAGATAAATTCATATATAACACCTAAAAAAAATTGTTCCTCTCACATTTTAAAATGAAAATTAGAAATTTAAAATTCTAAAATAATTTAGCTATTCTATATATTAAAATTCTGGAAACTATACATAGTATTGACCCTTTTAACATAACACTACACTTTAACATAGCACTACACTAGTTACGTTAAGAAATAATCTAATATTAATTATTTAATAATAAGGTATCTTAATTTTTTCAAAAAATTAATGCATAAAACTACTGTTAAAAACTGATAAATACAAACAAGAAAAAATCTCAAGTCAAAATAAATCTGAGTTTAAACTAAAACTCTGTGCAGATTTAACTATATGTATACATATTAAATAAGTTAGTTACATAATTTATTCCTATTTAATAGTTAAAAACTAAAGCTTATGAGAATTAGCAGCAATAATCAGAAAATCTTAAGCAAACAAAGTTTACAATAACTACAAATTTAATCATCAGGTATAATTTAATAAACAGACATTAGTATTGATAAATACAATCTAATTATAGATTAAAAATT